AGGAGCCGCTGATAACAGTTCTACAGAGGAATGATTGAGTCTGTCATCTGCACCTCCATAACTGTCTGGTTTGGCTCTGCAACCCAACAAGACAGAAAACAGAATTCAGAGGATAATTAGAACTGCAGAGAAAACCATGGCTACCAATCTGCCATCCATTGAGGACCTGTATTCTGCACAAGTCAAAAAGAGAGCTGGGAAAATATTTACAGACCCCTCGCATCCTGGACATAAACTGTTTCAACTGCTACCCTCAAAACAATGCTATAGAGCACTGCACACCAGAATAACTAGACACAAGGAGTTTTTCCCCAAATGCCATCACTCTGCTAAACAAATAATTCCCTCAACACTGTCAAACTATTCACTAAATCTGCATTGCTATTAATCTTCTCATTGTTCCCATCACTCATCTCCTTCCACTTATGACTGTATGACTGTAACCTTGTTGCTGGTATCCTTATGATTTATATTGATAGTTTCCTGATTGCTTATTTGTACCCTATGACTATCACTGAGTGTTGTACCTTATGATTCTTGATGAATATATCTTTTCTTTTATGTACAGTGAGAGCTTCTGCACCAAAGACAAATTCCTTGTATGTCCAATCACACTTGACCAATAGAAAATTCTATTCTATTCTATTCTATTCTATTCTATTCTATTCTATTCTATTCTATTCTATTCTATTCTATTCTATTCTATTCAGATATTCCCCAAATAATTAGGAAACAGAGAGTGGAGCACAAGATGGTGTCATTACCTAGGTTAGAAATGACTCATGTGTATACTTTGACATAAACAAACGTAACAATTGTACTAAGAACCCAAGGTTGTTTTATAAAACAGAACAACTTCTAAGAGTCTTTCCACAGGGAAGTTCCTTGTCGCTGAAGACGGTGGAGAAATGACTCAGTTTTTCCAGGACAGCTAGCAAAAAGCACAGCTACTCACAGATAAACAAGCCTACCTTGGGTTTTTCTTGAACTTGACTTTGTGTCTCTGACTTGGAAGTCCTCTGTACCAAGAGCGTTTGGATCTCTCTCCAATCGTTGTTAAGCTTTTCTGTAAGTTCCAGAGTATTTTCCCGCTGAGCCTGTCGCTCTTTCTTAAAAAAAGAAAAAGGTGGGGTGGGGGGAAGGATAATCATATTACTGCTATCCTGTACAATAGGTGCCTAATCTGAATGCTCTTTTTTGTATTCGAACAAGAAGTAAAAGTAGAGAATTCAAAAGGAAAGCAAACAATTACAAACACGTATGCAAATAAATTACATCTATAATATTTCACCCCAAAAGCCTGCTAGAAATCAACGCGCCCTAAGAAACCGATTCAAGACTTAGGGGCAACTGTAGCTAAGGATGGAATTTACATCCATTTCTTTTGTTCCGTCAAAACATATGCCTTAGAAAATACCGACAGCAAACAGCACGATTCAGTTTCTTCTGACAGATTAAGAGAAAGTGAATTTCTAAGGCCTTAGCTGAGCAATGCATTCTGTGAAATTAAAAAAAAGATAGTTGAGTTTGGTTTACGTATATTTGTGCATTGCTTACTCCACCATAGTACTCAAGTTGAAGAGTATTGGTTTAAAGTGATATGACTATAATTTTATTGTATTAGAGCCTCCATTTTACCTTCCCCCCCCCATTTATATTATCCTTTTTATTAGTTTATAATATAAAATGCAAAAATGCAACTAATAGGAAAAATAGAGAAAGGGAAAGGGAAAAAGAAAGAAAAGGCATTGATTTCTGACTCCCTTTGATGAAGCAGAATAAGATAGTAACATCAACTTTCAACTTTTTACTTTGATATTAAGGCCTTCCTTGACAGTGCTGGAGAATAGATGTCAAAGTAGCTACTGCGCGTAATCATTCCATGCAGGGGAATTATACCTTTCAGTTTTATAGAAGAAGAACATCAGAGCATTTCAAGTTTAGGATAGTTTACCTTTTCCAATTTGGATTTTGCTATCAGCTCTTCAACAAGTTCCTTCCGTGACTTGGGATTTTGACTTTCTCCGTTCTGCTGCTCTGTGGGTTTTTTCTTAGAAAGGAGTCCTCCAAAATGAGATGCGGTTAATTCCTCTGGAAATGCAAGATTTATGAATTGATCAGGATGTAAATAAATCCCGAGAACTCAGCACATTCATATCCCTAATGTTGCTTTAGCATTGTTAATAATTTACCGGAGCAAAAATTGAAGGAGAGCGTGACTAAGCATGAGGGAGAGCAGAACTGGGAAGATCCACCTCAAATGACATTGATTACTGAAAGTTTTGAAAGTATCAAATTTATAAATGAAACAGAATTCTAATAGGTTGCATCCCATATGTTATTCTTTTGTAACTACTTCTACTGGCACTTCGAAATTTCATTTACAATATACAAGAGTTGTTAGAGGTCTTATTAAATCACAGTTGCATGTTATAAAGAATGTACAATCCACTCCAATTATTTTTTCCCCACCTGATAACATTCCTTTTTCTTCCGAATCGCTGTCACTATCGACAATATCATTAAGTTTCTCGATGTCTGCTAGAGAATGGCCATAGTGAGTTAAGTCTTCTTCTTCATTGAGATTATATACGTTTTTCTTTTCAAACGTTTTCTGAAATACAACCAAACATATGAGTGAGGGGTGTTCGTTAAAACTGAAGGGATTCCTATCCATGAAGCTTCTGAGAAATTTATTTTCATTGCCGTTTTGAATTTCCTTGGCACTGGGGCAAGGCGTTGTTGACAAGATAGGAGCTATGGCACGCAGTTGTGGCTTAGAGGCCAATATGACCTTGATTTGGGGGTTCCTGGTGATGTTTTTATACCAGGAAATATTTCTTCCTGCTGGTTTCTGGACTGTAACATTATAACAGAGATGGAAGGGAGCTTGGTGGAGTTCTAGTCCAACTCAGGCAGGAGACCCTATACCCGTGATGGCGAACCTATGGCACACGTGCCACCATGCCAGCTCAGCTCTGGCAACATGCGCGTGCTGGCCAGCTGATTTTCGGGCTTTCTGGGCCCACCAGAAGTAGGGAAACAGGTTGTTTCCTGCCTCCGGAGGGCCTGGGGTGGGGGTGGGGAAGGCCCGTTTTTCTTTCTCACCTGGCTCCAGATCCTCTCTATGCATCTATAGACTACTAGAGAAGCTCTGGAGGCTGGGGATAGCAAAAAATGTTACTTCCTGTCCAACCGGGAGTTGGGAAATGGGCCATTTCAGGCCTCCGAGGGGGTGGGGAAGGCTGTTTTCGCCCTCCTCAGATGCATAGAGAGGACTAGAAGACCTCCAAGGTCCCTCCCAACTCTGTTATTCTGCTCTTCTATAATTCTGCTTTCCTTCCACCCTTCCTTCCACCCTTCCTTCCTTCCTTCCTTCCTTCCTTCCTTCCTATCTATCTATCATCTATCTATCTATCTATCTATCTATCTATCTATCTATCATCTATCTATCTATCTATCTATCTATCTATCTATCTATCTTCTACCTACCTACTTACCTACATTTATATCTATCATCTACCTATCATCCATCTATCTATCTATTATCTATCTCTATCCATCTACATCTATCCATCTATGCCTCTCTCCATCCATCCCTCTCTCTCATCTATCTATCTATCTATCTATCTATCTATCTATCTATCTATCATCTATCTATCTATCTAATTTCTCTCTCTCTCTATATATATATATATATGTATATATCTGTCACTGGACGTTTTTAAAGAAGAGACTGGACAGCCACGTGTCTGAAATGCCGTAGGGTCTCCTGCTTGAGCAGGGGGCTGGACTAGATGACCTCTGAGGTCCCTTCCAACTCTGTTATTCTGCTCTTCTATAATTCTGCTTTCCTTCCTTCCTTCCTATCTTCTACCTATCTCCCTACATCTACCTCCCTATCTATCCTCTATCTATCTGTCACTGGAGGTTTTTAAGAAAAGATTTGGACAGAGTTGGTCCCTTCCAACTCTGTTATTCTGCTCTTCTATAATTCTGCTTTCTTTCTTTCCTTCCTTCCTATCTATCTATCTTCTACCTATCTACCTACATTTATATCTATCATCTACCTACCATCTATCTATCTATCTACCTACCTACCACATCCATCCATCAATATCTGTCTGTCTGTCTGTCTGTCTCTCTAATCTCTCTCTTTCTATCTATCCATCTCTCTCTCTCTCTTTCTTTATACGAGCCAGAAATAGATCTATATAAGTCTCTCACCTGGCTGCCAGAAAGAAAAAAGCCCAGAATCGAGTGGATGTGATTCTACTGAGCTAGGGCTGCAGAAAAACCTTGGTTAGGTAGGAAAAACCTGGCTAGAGGATTTGGACAGCCACGTCTCTGAAATGCCGTGGGGTCTCCTGCTTGAGCAGGGGGCTGGACTAGATGACCCCCGAGGCCCCTTCCGTGGTTCTTACCTGCCGCTCCAAGGCGAACCTCCGCTCGGCCTTCTCCTCGGCGCTCATCCCGCCATCGTACTCTCCGAAGCGCCGGTCCCTGAAGACGCCGCTCTTCTCCCGCTGCTGGAACTCCTTCTGCAGGCTCCGCTGGCGCTGAGGGAAAAGGCGGGAGGGAGGTGAGGGGAGAGCCCGAACGCCCCGCATTCCCTCCCTCCTTCCCTCCCTCCGCTTACCTTCGCGTGGGCCCGGGAGCGCGCCACGCCCGGCAGCCCCACCGCGTGCCGAACCCGGCGGCCCAAGACGGGGAATTTCTCCCGGTTGACTTTCACCTCAAAGGGGTTCTTCGAGCAGGCCGCAGGCGGGCCTCGCCGCGCCATCTTGCTCCGTCGCGCTGGGCCGAAGCGGCGCCCTGTGATGACGTTGTAGGAGACTCCGCCCCCAAGGGGGTGTGGAGAGGGAGAGGGAGGCCCCGCCCCGCCCTCTGGAACGGCTTCCCTCGCGCGTCGGGGGGGCGTGGCCGGGGGCGTGGCCGGCGGAGGACGCGCCCCGCCCACCCGCTCCTCCCACCTTCCCCCCCCCCCCCGCGCTCTTGCCATGGCCGCCATGGAGAAGCTGATGCGGGCCTTCGAAGCGCTGCGCTCCTTCCAGCAGCAGCAGCTGCCGCCGCCGCCGCCCCAGCCCAGCCCCGCGCCCGAGGAGCCGCCCGCCCGCCCGTGAGTGGGGAGACCCCCAAACGGCCCCCCTCCCTCCCGCCCTTCAGGCCTGCCCGGGGGGGCAACAAGTGGGGGGGGTCCCTGGAAGAGTCTTCCCCCCCCCGCCCCTTGGCTGCCTCTGGCCCGGGGGTCCTGGGTGGTCGTGGGGAGCCGGCCCCGCCTGTCCTTCCTCTCCGCCCCCGGGCAGGGCTAATTCCCTAGGAGGGGGGTCAGACCCCCCCAGTTTGCCCCCCCAGAAGGAGGGTGCTCAGACCCCCCTGGCTGCCCCCCCCGCAGGGCTAATTCCCTAGGAGGAGGGGGGGTCAGACCCCCCCAGCTGCCCCCCCAAGACAGGGCTAATCCCTTAGGAGGAGGAGGTCTTATACACCCCAGCTGACCCCCCAGCAGGAGGGAACTCAGACCCCCCTGGCTGCCCTCCCTACAGGGCTAATCCCATAAGAGGGGGCTCAGACACCGCCCCCCCCGCTTCCTCCCCAGGCAGGACTAATTTCCTAGAAGGAGGGGGGCTCAGACCCCCCCTGGCTGTCCCCCACAGGGCTAATGCCCTAGGAGGGGGGGCCTCAGACACCCCAACTGCCCCCCCAGAAGGAGGGAGCTTAGACCCCCTTGGCTGCCCCCCCAGGCAGGGCTAATCCCCTTGGAGGAGTGGGGCTCAGACACCCCAACTGCCCCCCCGGAATGAAGGAACTCAGACCCCCCTGACTGCCCCCCCTGCAGGGCTAATCCCATAAGAGGGGGGCTCAGACACCCCCCCTGCTGCCTCCCCAGGCAGGACTAATTTCCTAGAAGGTGGGGGGCTCAGAACCCCTAGCTGCCCCCCCCCCAGAAGGAGGGGGCTCAGGCTCCCCTGGCTGCCCTCCCTACAGGGCTAATCCCGTAAGAGGGGGGGCTCAGAACCCCCCTGGCTTCCCCCCTCCAGGTCTAATCCCCTAGGAGGGGGGGCTCAGACCCCCTCAGAAGGTGGGTGCTCAGACCCCCCTGGCTGCCCCCCCCCCGGCAGAGCTAATCCTCTAGGAGGAGAGGGCTTCAGACCCCCGTGGCTGCCCCCCCAGATCTAATCCCCTAGGAGGGGGGGCTTAGACACCCCAGCTCCCCCCCCGCCCCTTGGCTGCCTCTGGCCCGGGGGTCCTGGGTGGTCGTGGGGAGCCGGCCCCGCCTGCCCCCCATCGGCGGGGGGCTTAGACCCCCCTGGTTGCCCTTCCTACGGGGCTAATCCCATAAGAGGGGGGGCTCAGACCTCCCCCCGCGCTGCCTCCCCAGGCAGGGCTAATTCCCTAGGAGGGGGGACAGACCCCTCCGACCTCCCCTCCTCCGCCAGTGCTAATCCCCTAGGATGGGGGGGCTCAGACCCCCCCCATGACTTCCCCCCCAGGCAGGGCTAATCCCCTAGGAGAGGGGCTCAGACCCCCCCTGACTGCACACACACCCCTTCTCCCAAGGCAGGGCCTTTTCCCTTGAGTTGGAGGTTGGATGACGTCTCCAAAGCCCGTGAGCTCCTTGATGTGGAAGAGTAATGATTGACAGTCAGACCAAAAGAGAAGGGCTTCGTTGGGGGAAATAAGTATGGGGTTGCCTTCCTTTTAAGGATCAGACGAGCAGGTTTGGCCTCCTCCTGGATGGCGTTCTGAAGACCTACGGCAGACCACTTGCCCTGATGGTCCTTCATCAGCCACGGTGGACAAATTCTCTTTTTCCACCCAAGTGAATGCGCTAACTAGTCCTGTACCTCCAAGGCATCCGTGGTTAGAGAAATCACATTAGGGGCTGGAATTTCACGCAGGCCAAGAACTCTGGAATATCCGGGAGAACGCTGGCAGAGTGTTAACCCTGTAACAAGCTAGGTTGGATCAGTGGAATTTGTGGATCCGAATCGTGGCTAGTTCAGGAGATGCGTCTGCCTAAGATGCCGGATCAGGGACGGTGATTGACCAAGTGGGCAAGCTAGCAAAAATAATTCCCCTTTAATCTCCTGCTATCAGGAGCTATTGATAAATGTAGAAATGTTATTTCTAAGCTAAATTGCAGCTTATTTCTTAGCTAAATAAGCTAAGGGCCGCGGTGGCTCAGTGGCTAAGACGCCGAGCTTGTCGATCGAAAGGTCGGCAGTTCTGCGGTTCGAATCCCGAGTGCCGCGTAACGGGGTGAGCTCCCGTGACTTGTCCCAGCTTCTGCCAACCTAGCAGTTCGAAAGCAGGTTAAAAAAATGCAAGTAGAAAAATAGGGACCACCTTTGGTGGGAAGGGAACAGCCTTCCGTGCGCCTTTGGCGTTGAGTCATGCTGGCCACGTGACCACGGAGACGTCTTCGGACAGCGCTGGCTCTTCAGCTTTCAAACGGAGATGAGCACCGCCCCCTAGAGTCGGGAACGACTAGCACACATGTGCAAGGAGAACCTTTACCTAAGCTAAATTCAATTTTATGCAACTATTTGAAAGAAAGGATTAAACTCTTGCTAATTTCAGATTTTCACAAGGTCCCGTATTGATTGGTATGGGCAAGGTTTGCATATCGGCAGCCCCAGACTGGGCCGTGGTGATGCACTTTGGGACATCAACGGCTGTTTTTCGTTTCTGAGTGGGCTGGAGCAATTCCCAAAGCTCCATTCTTGCTCCAGGCAGTTGCCAAAAGCAGGCTGGCAGTGGGTTTATGGATGGAAAACAAAGAATGTGATAATGCGGGGCCTAATTTAATGGTTTGTGTGTCTTTATTTTAGAAAGAAGGAACTGTCCACCTCCAAGAAAGACCGAGTCAATCATTGCCTAACAATATGTGAAAACATCGTGGCTCAGAGTTTAAGGTAATCAAAGGTTTTCTGAACACTGTGGCTGAAAACAGCGGGGGTTTAAAAAAAGATACGCTTCAGGTAGTCCTCGACTTAGAACAGTTCATTTGGTGATCGCTCAAAGTTACGACAGCACTGGAAAAAAAGCGACTTATGGCCGTTTTTCACAGTTACGACCTTTTGCATCGTTCCCAGGGTCACAGGATCAAAATTCAGATGTTTTCTTGGCAACTGACTCGTATTTATGACGGTTTCACATGACTGTAAAACATGCATTTCTTGAGCTGCTGGTGATTAACGCTACGTGTCCCTCTCGTGGCTTCGGAGAAAATCCTGGCTAGGGAGCGGGGCATCACCCCTTGCGAATGGGGTTAGTCCGAAGAGGGGAACTGTGCAACTTACTAGACTGAACCTTCCTTTTCCCTTCCGGGCTCCAAACGGAACAAGATCATAGCTTGTTCGCACCATTTTGCCATTGAAACTGTGTGAGCCAATGAGGGCGGCCCCATTTTGCCATTGGAACTGTGTGAGCCAATGAGGTGGCCCCATTTTGCCATTGAAACTGTGAGCCAATGAGGCCATTGAAACTGTGAGCCAATGTGGCGGCCCCATTTTGCCATTGAAACTGTGTGAGCCAATGAGGCGGCCCCATTTTGCCATTGAAACTGTGTGAGCCAATGAGGTGGCCCCATTTTGCCATTGAAACTGTGTGAGCCAATGAGGTGGCCCCATTTTGCCATTGAAACTGTGAGCCAGTGAGGCCATTGAAACTGTGTGAGCCAATGTGGCGGCCCCATTTTTGCCATTGAAACTGTGTGAGCCAATGAGGCGGCCCCATTTTTGCCATTGAAACTGTGTGAGCCAATGAGGCGGCCCCATTTTGCCATTGAAACTGTGAGCCAGTGAGGCCATTGAAACTGTGTGAGCCAATGAGGCGGCCCCATTTTTGCCATTGAAACTGTGTGAGCCAATGAGGCGGCCCCATTTTGCCATTGAAACTGTGAGCCAGTGAGGCCATTGAAACTGTGTGAGCCAATGAGGCGGCCCCATTTTTGCCATTGAAACTGTGTGAGCCAATGAGGCGGCCCCATTTTTGCCATTGAAACTCTGTGAGCCAATGAGGAGGCCCTATTTTTGCCATTGAAACTGTGTGAGCCAATGAGGCGGCCCCGTTTTTGCCATTGAAACTGTGTGAGCCAATGAGGCGGCCCCATTTTTGCCATTGAAACTGTGTGAGCCAATGAGGCTGGGCTTGTTTCCTAACTGGATGCAACATCATCTTTCAGAAATTCTCCAGAATTCCCCAAGCTGTTGGGGATCGCCATGGAACTCTTCCTCCTCTGTAGCGATGACGCGGAGTCCGATGTTAGGATGGTCTCCGATGAATGTCTCAATAAAGTGATAAAAGTAAGTGGTTTGCTTCTTTTTTAAGGGCCTAGAAATACGTATTAAATTCAGAAAAAACAGAGGGCTGAAAAAACAGTCACTAAACGTACTGTTGTAAATAGAGCCAGGGGGTGAAATGCTACCGGGTCAGTCCGGTTCGCCCGAACCAGTAGTAAAAAAAATGTAAAAAAGTTCCGACGATCAGCTGGGCGACGCGTGATCGTCAGAACTTTATTTATTTTTTACTTTTTAAACATTTTTAACTACTGGTTCTCTGGAAAGTAAACTTTAAAATGAAAAAAAAAAAAAAGTTCCCACGATTGCGCTATTCTTGTCGGGGGTAGATGCCACTTGTAAACTCATCACATATTTTTGAAGTTTAGATTCTTGGGAGTCTACTGCAAGGAGAGGTATGCTAATAGGTCATGGCTGGCAGAGGAATTCTGGGAGTTGAAATCCACAAGTCTGGAGTTGCCAAGACATATACCCATGCCATAGACATTATTTCGATTCCTTGTAGTAATTTTTTATTGCTATTAAATAAACAATAGAGATAAGAAATAAGCCCTCTCTATGCTTTCCTATTCAGGGGCCAAAAACCCATTGTAATAAATAAATCTGCTAATTTAGGACATGATGTTGGAATGATGCATGCATTGTTAATATCTACACTCGATTCCATTCTAGGCCTTGATGGATTCCAGTCTTCCTAGATTACAATTGGAACTCTACAAAGAGATTAAAAAAGTGAGTTCTTTTTGACACAAAATTGCATGCATAGAGTTTTGTTCGCACGTATAGAGTTTTGCACAGGAATTTGGGATCGTAACTCGTTGCCAGGTTAAGCCATGAGCAACGAACACTTCCTTTGAGGGGAGAGGATTTGGGCGGGGGGGCGCGATGGGATGGCTGCAAGTTGCAGGCTGGTAGACTGGTTGAGGAAATCTGGGAGTTGAACTCCGTACATCTCAACAGGGACCAAAGTTGAGAGATGCTGTCTTTGAACGGCGGTTTCTGAAACATTTTGGATTTAGGACCATGTTACCTTCTTTAAAAAGACTCCGGAGGAGCTTTGCTTTAGGTGGGTCGTATCTATCAATATTTGATGCATTAAAAATCAAAACTGAGACTTAAAAGAGCAGCAAAGGCTCTTGGGCTCTTTGTAGGAAAGCAACGTTGCTAAATCTGTTTCCAGTCAGCATCTCTTGTTTCTGAACTTTGTGGGGCTTTGCCAAGAAAGGCCTTTGGCAGGGTGCCAAAGAAGACAAAGGTTTGTGATAAGCCCAAAGGACTTTTTCTGAAGGACTTGTTTTGGAATTAATTTGGACTAAGCTGGGAATGAACGTAATTCTCAGCTGTTATAATAAAATAGGTTTGTTTAAGACTAAATTGTGTCTTATAATGACTAAGTGATCTTAGGTCACAACACTGACAGGTGAGTCTCTCTTGTCCATTGCGTTTTGCAGAACGGTGCTTCCCGGAGTTTGCGGGCTGCTCTGTGGAGATTTGCGGAACTTGCACACCTTGTTAGACCTCAGAAATGCAGGTGAGATGGTCTCCTTGAGAGCAAGAAGAAGCTGGGGGATTCTGGGCCAGCGGCTTTGGGGTCCTGTTCTTTGGGGTGTTACCTGTATGTTCCTGGAGTTGGACTGTGACCTGGCTGGCTGGCCTCTTCCCATCTGCCTAGACAGCTGTTGGCATGCTGTAACACAACTTACCTGGCGTTTGATGTTAATAATTTGCCCTAGTATATAATCTCCTTGCTGGTCCCTTTAATGGTCTTAGGGGACTGGAGGCTAAAACCTATAAAGATTGGTTGCTGGAATTGGGTATATCTAGTTCAGGGGTCAGCAACCTGCGGCTCTGGAGCCATATGTGGCTCTTTCACCCCTCTGCTGCAGCTCCCTGCCATTCAAAATATGCATCATAACCGCCAATGTGCGACACCTGCCGGCACGTGATTTATTGAGCTTTTCAACCCCCCGGTAGGCCAACCATGGATAAATCCAAGAAAAGAAAAGTTTTAGAAGAAAACAGAACATTTAATTCAACTACATATGCTAGTTTTTGTGGCCGCTCTAGAAATAAGTCAGGCACGGGAAGGGTTTTGTGGCTCCCGGTGTTTTCTGTGGGAAACGGGTCCAAATGGCTCTTTGAGTGTTTAAGGTTGCAGAGCCCCGGTCTAGTTTAATGAAAAGAAGGGGCCAGGGTTATAATAGCAGCATTCCAATATCTAAGGGGCTGCCACAAGGAAAAGAGGGGTCTGTCTATTCTCCAAAGCACCAGAGGGCAGGACAAGAAGCAACAGGTGGAAACTAATCAAGGAGTGAAGCAACCTGGAACTAAGGAGAAATTTCCTTACAATGAGAATAAGTGATCAGTGGAATGACTTGCCTCCAGAAGTTGTAAATGCTCCAACACTGGAAGTTTTTAAGAAGAGATTGGATAACCATTTGTCTCAAATGGCCTAGGGTTTCCTGACTTGAGCAGGGGGTTGGACTAGAAGACCTCGAAGGTCCCTTCCAACTCTATTATTCTGTTAAATTAGGTCTGGAGGCAGGGCCCCCTTTCCTGTTTGCATTTTCTCCTGCACCCCTCCTGTACCAAGTCACGAAAAGGGAGTATCCCATCCCAAGCCTTTTGAGTGATTTTTTTTTCTCTTGCTGCAGGCCGTACTTTGTGAACCTCCTGCCCTGCTTAACCCGGGTCAGCCGGCGGCCCGAAGAATCCGTGCAAGAGACCCTGGCTGCGGCGATGCCCAAAATCATGGCAGCGTTTGGCAACTTCGCAAACGACAGCGACATCAAGGTAAAACATTATCGTAAGCTTTAACGCCACGCGTACAGACGGACAACACAGTGTTGGAAAAGAGAGTGACCGTTTTTGTCAGAGTTTGTTGCAAAAAATCAAATCCAGAACCACACACCGATAAACTGATTCAGCAGGATTCATTAACTTATTTATATACAAGAATATATAATACCAACAACAGAGAACAGTTCATTTCAGCTCAGATCAGCAGACAAATTCAGACACACTGATTTCAGTTTCGTTTCTCTGCCCGGACTCAGAAGCTGCAGACTAAGAAACGTCCTGGCTCCAGTCTGTCTCAGCTCCCAATTGGCTGACTTAGTTGCTATGCCTGTTCATTGGCTGACCTTGTTACCGTGTCTTCCCAGTCATGAATATACTGACAGTTTTGATGAGTCAGTCCGTGAGGGGCTGCACGACAACGAGTTCAGGGCTACTTGGCTGATTTAGTTCTATTAAAGCTTTTCCCAGCTTTGCCGAAGTTTCTGAATTAGGACCAGATTTTGGAGAGAAGCAGGCTGTTTGGGACACCAGATCCCGAGCAGCAGGCCGTCCCTGAATAAGTCCCTGAATAAGTGGGATCTTTCTTGTCTCATGCTTGGTTCCATAAGTGGTCCCACCACATAATGACCTTTCTGGCTTCCCCATCTGAAAGTTCCTGGACTCTCCCTGTAAGAAGGAAGCTAGGAACGGGGGAAAGTCCTGGCTTTGGCACTAGGACAGTGGTGTCACCTGGAACGCAGGAGAAGGGGGCAGCAACTTGGTTCCTAGTGTTCTGTCCCCGTCTCACACACGCACACAGTCAGCCAGGGGTTAAATAAAACTGGCAGACAACAAATTCTTTTGATAAGAGGATTGGCAGCAACCCAGTAGCTGCTTGCCAAGAACTTTACTCATAGAGGGAGGGGTTGTTCCTCCACCAGATAAACCAAAACAATATACACACAGTCAAAGAATTGTCAAGTCCAGTCCGTATTAAATCCGAGGCAGATAATGTTGTTTCAGAGATACAGTGTGACTCGCTAGTAGTTTAGTTTTGTCCGTCACAGTCTCTGAATGGCCACCTCACCCCCTTTTATCCCCTGTGGGGTGTGGTCCAGTGACTCAGCCTAATCTCTGGCACGCCTCCTTTTCTGCTGCGTGCGCTTGTCTCTCTGACGCTGGCGTGGATCCAGCCAAGACTTATCTCCGTCACTGTCCGACTGCGAGGAGATACCTGGCTCCTGGCCAATCTCTTCTCCTTCGGGAGGCACCTGAGGCATTGCCAGAGAGGAGCGTCCTGGAGAGGGAGGCCTGGCCAACTCCTCCTTCATGTTCGGAGCCTTCTCCCTCCGATAAGTTGGCCTTGGGGGTCGGAGTCATAACACCTAGCTGAAGTCGTGGCTGCAGAGGTGGGTTTGATATAATTTTACCGCCGGTTCGCCGCGCACCGAAAATGTGAGTGTGCGCACCCTCGCTTTCGCGCACGGCCTTCCGCGTGTGCACTTTGCTCGTGCGCGGCTTGCACACATGCGTGCAGCTTAGAAAACGTGGCTAAATAGGACGGCATAGCGCGTGGGCTAAATAAGACGGTATAGCGCCACTACCGAACCGGTCCGAACCAGCTGAATACAGCAGTGGGTTCCTCTTACCTTCGCTACCAGTTCGGAAACAGGAGCGCCAACACGTTGTGTGTTTTTGCTTTGCTCGCACGTGGCGCTTCTGCACATGCGCAGAGTGTCCGTGATGATGTCCAGGCAGGTGGGCGGAGCCTCCTGCCATCGCCACTACAGGTTTGTCAGAACTGGTAGAAACCCACTACTGGATGAATACCAAGACTGCGTGGCTGCCTCTGCTTACTTTTGCACCTGTTTTAAGGTGAACTTTTCAATTTTTTTTAAAAAAAACTCCAGAATGAAGCCCATAAGGCAATGCTGGAGGCTGTCATAAAAGCAGCTAACCAAACTTTCAAGGCCCTCGGATGACGGATGAGATTGTCTTCCTCAATGTGTTATAGAGGCTATCCGGGGCTGAGGATACATTATTCGTCCTATTGGAAATGATAAGAAGCTTTATTTGAGGTTTTTTTTTAATGTCAGAGTAGCAGTAATGGTTTTGCTCTTTTTTTCTTTTAAACCTTGGCCTTGATTTCGTATTCTGTAGAGAGAGCGTGTCTGTCTACCCTTAACCAGACTTTGAAAAAGGAAACTCAGACGGCGCAGAAACATTTTGTTGATTTTCTTTTCACTTTAGGTTTTATTGAAAGCTTTCATAGGTAATCTTAACTCCAATTCTCCAACCATCCGTCGGACGGCGGCCGCAGCCACGGTGAGCATCTGTCAGCATTCACGAAGGACGCAATATTTTTACACTCGGTTGCTTCAAGTATTGCTAGGTAAGTGTCTTAATTTATCATCCTGCTTCATGTGTTTGCTGGATCTTTATTGCTCTCTCTCTCTCCTCTCTCTCTCTCTCTCTGTCTCTCTGCCTCTCTCTCTCTCTGTCTCTCTTTTTCTCTTTTCTCTCTCTGTCTCTGTTTCCTCTCTCTCCTTGTCTCTCTCTGTCTCTCTTTTCTCTTTGTCTCTCTTTCTCTCTGTGTGTGTCTGTCTGTCTCTCTTTCCTCTCTCCGTTTCTCTCTCTCTCTGTCTGTCTCTCTTTTTCTCTTTTCTCTGTCTCTGTCTCTCTGTTTCCTCTCTCTCCTTGTCTCTCTGTCTCTCTTTTCTCTTTCTCTCTCTCTCTCTCTCTCTCTGTGTGTGTGTGTGTGTCTGTCTCTGTCTTTCTCCTCTGTCCTCTCTGTCTCCTTTCCTCTCTCTGTCTCTCTTTTTTTTGTCTCTCTGTGTGTCTGTCTGTCTCTTTCTCTCCTCTCTCTCTCTCTCTTTCTCTCCTCTGTCTCTCTTTCTTTTCTCTTTGTCTCTCTGTCTCTCTCTTTTTCTCTCCTCTCTCTGTCTGTGTCTCTGTCTGTGTCTCTCTTTGTCTCTTTCTGTGTCTTTCTCTCTTCTCTTTGTCTCTCTCCCTGTTTCTTTTTCTCTCCTCTCTCTCTCTCTCTCTCTCTCTCTTTCTCTTCTTTCTGTCTCTCTCTCTTTTCTCTTTTTCTCTCTGTGTTTCTCTGCCTCTCTGTCTCTCTCTGTGTCTTTCTGTCTGTCTCTTTCTCTCCTCTCTCTGTCTCTCTCTTTTTCTCTCCTGTCTCTCTCTTTTTTTCTCCTGTCTCTGTCTCTCTTTCTCTGTGTGTGTGTCTCTCTCTGTCTCTCTCTCTTTTTCTCTCCTCTCTCTCTCTCTCTCTCACACACACACACACTTTCAACTATACCTCCCATTCTTTGCGTAAAGATGTATTTCTGAGGAAATACCTGCCATAAAACTGACTTTCTGGAGCCTTTTATGAGGTTGACAGATAATAACTCTGAAAAAAAAAAAGGAGCAAAGGCTAAGAAACAATGAAAGCCATGTAAATATTGGAGCCTTAAAACCACTGCAGAAGGTTGAAATTTGTGTCACTTTCAATTGAATATGTCAATTATTAACATTAGAAGACGTCCAAATGTCCTTTGTTGAAACGCTGATTTTTACAGTAGGGGAAATAGTTCTACCAATTCTTTAGCTAAACTTTAACGTCTTAACCTCTGTTGCTATAACCCGAGAGCCAGCTTGGGGTGGCGGTTAAGGCACCTGGCTAGAAACAGGGAGACTGTGAGTTCTAGTCCTCCTTGAGGCACCATGCCTGTTGCGTGACCTTGATCCGGCCACTAACTCTTAGCCCTAGGAAAAGAGGCAATGGTAAGCTTCTTTTGAGAAATGTTGCAAGAAACGGGCTTGCCTGGGCAGCCATTAAAAGTCAGGATTGACTCAAAGACACCTCCTATAACTTAGCGTAGAAGTAGGGAACTGTTCCCTCATTTGGGCATTTGATAAATATTTGTTTTAAGTTGTGTCCGACCCATCGCGACCCCATGGACAACGTTCCTCCAGGCCTTCCCATCCTCTACCATCCTCTGGAGTCCATTTAAGCTCACGCCGACTGCTTCAGGGACTCCATCCGGCCACCTCGTTCTCTGCCGTCCCCTTCTTCTTTTGCCCTCCATCGTTCCCAGCATTAGGCTCTTCTCCAGGGAGTCCTTCCTTCTCCTTAGGTGGCCAAAGTATTTGAGTTTCCTCTTCAGGATCTGGCCTTCTAAAGAGCAGTCAGGGTTGATCTCCTCTAGGACTGACCGGTTGGATCACCTTGCAGTCCAAGGGACTCGCAGGAGTCTTCTCCAGCACCAGAGTTCAAAGGCCTCCATTCTTTGGTGCTCAGCCTTCCTTATGGTCCAACTTTCACAGCCAGACATTGCAACTGGGAAAACCATCGCCTTGACTATACGCACTTTTGTTGGCAGGGTGATGTCTCTGCGTTTTAGTATGCTGTCTAGATTTGCCATAGCTTTCCTCCCCGGGAGCATTATATTATATATATTGACAAATATAGCTGGTGTAAAAATAAAGAGTTGTATTTGGGGGGGGAAACAATCTCTGTCTTGCTCAAAAAATTGTTTGCTGGTTCCAACTGATTTTTCCAGTGAAAGTTTTTTTTTTCCTTTTCCTTTTGAGCATCCTCTTTCCCCCCTCCCTTTAAAAACACGATCAAAAGGTAAGGCAGTCAGACAGGGTGCAGAAATATACTCTCTGACCAGCATATTTAAACAACAGGTGTGTCCATGTGCCCATTCATCAGTAAATCTTGGTAGGTGTGTGCACCAGGCAAAACAAATTGACCAACCAGATAACAGGGTTTTTTTAAAAAAGGACACACACACACACACACACACAGGAAAGATCTCTCTGGCTCCCATCATCCACTGGCTCCTCCAGCACTCCCTTCTGCGCTGAGCTCTCTCTGGATAGCTGGTGTGCTCTAAAGCAGGGGTCTCCAAACCTTGGCAACTTTAAGACTTGTGGACTTCAACTCCCAGAATTCCTCAGCCAGAAAAGCTGGCTGAGGAATTCTGGGAGTTGGAGGTCCACAAGTCTTAAAGCTTTGCTGGCTGAGGAATTCTGGGAGTTGAAGTCCACAAGTCTTCAAGGGAGGGGAGTCCCCTCGATCCTGGGGGGAGGGTGGGGGGTGTCAGCGAGCCTTGTGAGGGGCTGGGAGAGCGGGGTTGTTTTTCAGCCATTCCAATCGTCTTCGCAGGACTGTTGTGTCCCACGGAAGAAGAGCACCCCAGTGTCTTGATTCTTGGGGTGTTGCTCACCTTGAGGTACCTGATCCCATTGCTGCAGCAGCAGGTGAAGGACACCAGCCTGAAGGGCAGCTTCGGGGTCATCCAGAAAGAAACCGAGATTTCACCTTCCTTGGATCAACTCATCCAGGTATCCGTTCGCTCAAGAGCCCCCGTGGCTCAGTGGTCAGAAGGCGGTATTCCAGGACCCAGATTGTTGGGGGAAATATGTTGACACTTAGAGTGGCTGTAAAGCCCTGTGAAGCGGCATATAAATCTAAGGGCTATTGCTATTGCCCGTCTTTCCTTCCTTCCTTCCATCCTTCCTTCCTTCCTTCCTTCCTTCCTTCCTTCCTTCCTTCCTTCCTTCCTTTTCATTTCCTTCCTTCTTTCTTCCCTCCCTCTTCCTCCCTTTTCAGTTCTTTCCTTCCTTTTCATTTCCTGACTTCCTGTTCATTCATTCCTTTTCATTTCCTTCCTTTTTGTTTCTTTTCTTCCTTCCCTCCCTCTCTCTTCCTTCCTTTTCATTTTCTTCCTTCCATTTCATTTCCTTCCTTTTTCATTTCCTTTTCATTTCCTTCCTTTTCATTTCCTTCCATCCTTTTTGTTTCTTTCCTTCCTTCCCTCCCTCTTCCTTCCTTTTCATTTTCTTCCTTCGTTTCATTTCTTTCCTTTTCATTTCCTGCCTTCCTGTTCATTTCCTTGCTTTTCATTTCCTTGCTTTTCATTTCCTTCCTTTTTGTTTCTTTTCTTCCCTCCCTCCCTCTCTCTTCCTTCCTTTTCATTTTCTTCCTTCCATTTCTTTTCCTTCCTTTTAATTTCCTTTTAATTTCCTTCCTTTTCATTTCCTTCCTTCCATCCTTTTTGTTTCTTTCCTTCCTTCCCTCCCTCTTCCTTCCTTTTCATTTTTTTCCTTCCTTTTCATTTTCTTCCTTCCTTTTCATTCCTTCCTTTTCATTTCCTTTTCATTTCCTTCCTTTTCATTTCCTTCCTTCCAATTAGAATACAATATTGCAAGCTAATTCTGCCCATAGCCAACAGTTCAATCCTGACCATCTCAAGGTTGACTCAGCCTTCCGTCCTTCCTTCCGAGGTCGGTAAAACGAGGACCCAGATTGTTGGGGGCAAGAGGCTGACTCTGTAAACCGCTTAGAGAAGGCTGTAAAGCCCTATGAAGCAGTATATACCCTGTTTTCCCGAAAATAAGACATCCCCTGATAATAAGCCCAATCAGCCCTCCCTGAAAATATTTAAACACAGAGCTGGAAATCTGGTAAAATAGCAAGAGGAGCCCCATCTTGCTCCACGCACCCCAAAATAATAAGACCCCCCCCCCCGAAAATAAGGCCAAGCGTTTATTTCGGGGTTCAAAAAAATATAAGGCAGGGTCTTATTTTCAGGGAAACACGGTAATTCTAATTGCTATTGCTCATTCTCTCGCAGTGCTGCTGCAGGTGGGGTTCACCCCACCCCCAAAATATAGGGAAATATTTCCAATGCACGTCACGGAGGGGTGCAAAAGTGGGAATCTCAACTGTGCTCCTCCCCCTTCCAGGTGTACGAGCTGAGTCTCCATTACACTCAGCACCGGGATCACAACGTCGTCACCGGATCCCTGGAACTGTTGCAGCAGCTCCTCCGGACGCCTCCCCCCAACCTCCTCTTGGCCCTCACGATGCGCGGGGGGCTTTTGCAAGCGGGGGCAGGGCAGCCGAAGATGAGATTGCCGCCGCGGCCCGCAGCAATAGCATTGTGGAACTGATTGGTAAGCGATCCTACAGGTTGAAAATGACGGGGAGCCCGTAAGAAATACACATTAAAGCTTTTCCCTGAAGAGTCCCACCACAGAAAAAATAAATAAATAAATAAATAAATAAATAAATAAATTTTTTATTTATTTATTTATTTATTTATTTATTTATTTCTATCTATCTATACCGCCTTTCTCCCGAAGGACTCAGGGCGGTGTACAGCCAATTTAAAAACAAGCAAACACTTTAAACACTTAAAAGTCGGTTACCCAAAGATTTAAAAATGGCTTTGTGGATTTTTCTGGCATCGTTTAGGGTTTACGCTCAGGATGAGGTGAGGGGTCTCTTATGTTTCCTTATTTCTCTGCATGCTAAAATTGCATCAAATTGGAATAAATTGAAGATCGGTCTTTATTTCCCCTAACTGACGGTATCTTACAAAATGTCTTTTTTCCCCCTCTCCTTTTGGATTATTGAAAAAAAAAAAAGGAATTGATTTGTGCTCGACGGGAGACAAAGCCACTGATTTTCCAAAATAGTCCGTTGCCGAAAACAATTCCTTAAAAAACACTGAACCTCAAATTCACTGTTGCTGCGTTTCTCAGAGATTGTTATGATTCCTTTTTAATATTTAGTTTTTACCTGTTCCTTGATTTCTTTCTGTAATTTGCAGCTGGAGGGGGGTCTTCCTGCAGCCCTGTTTTTTCCAGAAAACAAAAAGGTGATTATATCTAATGAAATCTGTGTCTGGTCTTCTATATTTTCTCGCTTTTTTTCATTTCTTTCGACTTGGAAAACTTAATTTGGTTGGTTCTTGGTCCTTCGTTCTTTTTTTTCTTTTTTTTCCCCTTTCACCATATATCTATCGTTGCTGATCTTTAAAAGAATCATAGCTTATTGTTTCATTCCTTGCTTTTCGCTGTTGCTAAAATTATAGAAGGTATCATAATGAACTCCTGGAGAAAAATATCTACCGATGTGGTTGCAAATAATCAGAAGTGACTCGAAGGCACGTAAACAACAATAGTGAATTGATTTGGTTAGAATACTCCTTTCGATACAATGCTTTGGTTAGACAAAGTACGTTATTTATTTTCCTACAAAAAAAAAGAAAAAAAGCCCGCTTTTAAATTAATTGTATTTCCTCTGATTTGAATTTCTGTGGCATTTCCCTAGTGCATTGCTATATCGTTTTAAACTAAATTATAAATAGGTAGGTAGAGAGAGAGCGAAAGATGGAGATGGAAATGGAGATGGTGATCCAGGTAGGCCTCAATTTATGACCACAATTGAGCCCAACGTTTTGTTGCTAAGTATCGCAGGCTAACTCTGCCGACTGCCAGGAGTTCGATCCTGACCGACTCAAGTTTGGCTCAGCCTTCCGTCTAAGTGTTATTTCCCTTCCTTCCTTCCTTCTTCCTTCCTTCCTTCCTTCTTCCTTCCTTCCTTCCTTCCTTCCTTCCTTCCTCCCTCCCTCCCTCCCTCCCTCCCTCCCTCCTCTCCCTTCCCCTCCTTCCTCCCTCTCTCCCTCCTCTCCTTCCTCCCTCCTTCCTTCTTCCCTCCCTCCCCTCTCCCTTCCTTGCTCCCTCCCCCTCGCCTTCCCCCCTCCTCTCCTTCCTCTCACCCTCCCTTCCTTCCTTCCTCCCTCCCTTCCTCCCCCCTCCTTCCTCCCTCCCTCCCTTCTTCCCTCCTTCCCCCTCTCCCTTCCTCCCTCCCTCCCCCTCTCCTTCCCTCCCCCCTCTCCTTCCTTCCTTCCTTCCCAGTGGTTAGAGTGCAGTATTGCAGGCTAACTCTGCCGACTGCCAGGAGTTCGATCCTGACCGACTCAAGTTTGGCTCAGCCTTCCGTCTAAGTGTTATTTCCCTTCCTTCCTTCCTCCCTCCCTTCCTCTCTCCCCCTCTCCTTTCCTTCTTCCTCCCTCCCTCCCTCCTTCCCCTCTTCTTCCTTCCTCCCTCCCTCCCTCCCTCCCTTCTTCCCTCCCTCCCCCTCTTCCTTCTTCCTCCCTCCCCCTCTCCTTCCCTCCCTTCTCCTTCCTCTCACCCTCCCTTCCTCCCTCCCTCTCTTCCTCCCCCTTCTTCCTCCCTCCCTCCCTCCCCCTCCTTCCTTCCTTCCTCCCTCCTTCCCTCCCTCCTTCCCCCTCTCTCTTCCTCCCTCCTTCCCCCTCTCCTTCCCTCCCCCCTCTCCTTCCTTCCTTCCTTCCCAGTGGTTAGAGTGCAGTATTGCAAGCTGAGTCTACCCACTGCCAGGAGTTCAATCCTGACCAGCTCAAGGTCGACTCAGCCTTCCGTCCTTCCTTCCGAGGTCGGTAAAATGAGGACCCAGATTCTTGGGGGCAAGAGGCTGACTCTGTAAACCGCTTAGAGAGGGCCATAAAGCACTGCGAAGCGGTATATAAGTCTAAGGGCGATGGCTATTGTCCAGTGGTGAGTCGGCTATGGCGAGTTGTCCCTTGGTCATGTTTGGCCGTGGCGAATTGACTGTGCCGAGGTGTCCGATTCCGCTTTGCCATGCTGACCGTCTGCTCCTTGGCATTCCACGAGTCGAGCAGGGGCCATTCCTGATGCAAAGTCCTCTTTAGTGTCAAAAATACCCGAATCTGTTTTGTTCATTCAAGGTTCCCTTCACGTTGAAATGCGCCCGGCTCATTGTTTTAACCTCGCACAATCGAGAGCGTTCTCTTTATTTTTCGAAGGGCCTCTTCAAGAAGCTGTGATTTTGAAAAGTAGTTTGAAGAGCACTCTTGTTTTGTGAGCCGTGCCGTCTCTTTTCTTGAGTTCTGCCTACTTGTGCAGCCTCTTCATTTATACCCATAAATTGGACTTGTCCTTTTAACCCCCCTTATTATCCTTAAGTCACGCGAGGGCTGATCCGAGAAAGTCATAGTGTGGGCAGCCCCTTTCTCTACGAAATGGCCCCCCTGCCCTTTATTTAAAAACCATTTCAACCAGTGCCTATCACCTCCTGCAAAATGGGGCCAATGGGTACATTCCAGATTTTCAGCCCAAACTTTAAAAACAGGGTTAATGATTAGAAGCGGTCGTAAATCTGGCTGGGATAATTTGAGTCCTCCGTACCTTCTCAAGAAGGACGGTGGGAACTGGGTAGAGCCGTGATGGAGAACCTATGTGGCACGCAGAGCCATCTCTCCGGGCACGTGAGCTGCCGCCTGTTGCTCTTCTGGGTTTCCATCACGCCGGCCAGCTGATCTTCACAGGCGCAGGAGCAGGGGTGAAATCCAGCAGGTTCTGGAGAACCGGTAGCGGAAATTTTGAGCAGTTCGGAGGACTGGCAAATACCACCTCTGGCTGGCCCCCGAGTGGGGTGGGAATGAGGATTTTGCAATATTCTTCCCCTGGAGTGGGGAGGGAGTGAGGATTTTGCAGTATCCTTCCACTGGAGTGGGGAGGGAATGGGGATTTTGCAGTATCCTTCCCCTGGAGTGGGGTGGGAATGGGGATTTTGCAGTATCCTTCCCCGGAGTAGGGTGGGAATGGGGATTTTGCAGTATCCTTCCCCTGGAGTGGGGTGGGAATTGAGGATTTTGTAGTATCCTTTCCCCAGGAGTGGGGTGAGAATGGGGATTTTGCAGTATCCTTCCACTGAAGTGGGGAGGGAATGGGGATTTTGCAGTATCCTTCCCCCCTGGAGTGGGGTGGGAATGAGGATTTTGTAGTATCCTTTCCCCCAGGAGTGGGGTGAGAATGAGGATTTTGCAGTATCCTTTCCCCCAAGAGTGGGGTGAGAATGGACATTTTGCAGAATCCTTCCCCTGGAGTGGGGTGGGAATGGGGATTTTGCAGTATCCTTCTCCTGGAGTGGGGAGGGAATGGAGATTTTGCAGTATCCTTTCCTGCCACACCCACCAAGCCATACCACGCCCACCAAGCCATACCACGCCCACCAAGCCACGCTCACAGAACCTCACAGGTAGTAGAAAAAAATTGGATTTCACCACTGTGCAGGAGTGCCGGAAACCAAAAGACCTGCCGCCCGGGGCGCATGCGTGCACCAGGAAGATGATCTTCCGGTTTCCGGGCGCACACATGCACACCGGCCAGTCAGTCTTCCAGTTTCTGGCGCGCATGTGTGCACGAAAATGCACATTGCGCATGTGCACGCCGGAAACCGGAAGATCATCTTCCCGGCGCACACATGCGCCCTGGGCGGCAGCTCTTCCGGTTTCCGGCACGCACGGCGCGCTCCCGTTTCGGCACTCGTTGCCGAAAAATTTCGCCAACACTGGGGTAGAGGATCCGATCGATTGCTTTGTGCTCCCAGAGGAAATGGCAGGCAAGAAAGTATAACCAGAAAGTGGTAAAATATTATATAATGTTGTTATTTATGTTTTGCATTTTACCGTTTGGTGTATGTGTATATTTCTCCTCTCTCTTTTTTTTTTTTCCTTTTTCCTTTTTTGTCTTTTTCTATTACGTTTTTGGTTTTAAAAATGTAAAATATTGATATATGATTGTGGGTAAATATTTATAGGAATATTGTATGGTAGTTGGGAATTCTTCTTCTGGACACGCCTTCTATTTTGATGATTTTGCCTTAATGGAGGTTTGTGCTATTATCAGGTGAAAGCTGATGTTCTAAACTCTCTATGTATTATGTTACTCTCTGCAATCCTGTCTATATTGCTATATTTTTTTCTTTTGTATTTTAAAAATAATTTTCAATAATTTTTTTAAAAAAATGTAAAATATTCAATAAAAACTATTTTTTTTTAAAAAAAAGAAAGTATAACCAAAAAAAAAAAAGGAACAACTTTGCAAAAAAGACAATCGCATTGTTGGCACGGAGCATCTGATAAATTGCCGGGAATATTTTTTATTTATTTATTGTTAAATTTCTTGCCTTGATTTGTCAGCCAAAGTACTTTCAGGAGAGGAGACCCTGGAAGAGGATTCCGAAGCCAGGTCTCAAGCCAGCCAGGTGGGCTTTGCAGGTAGGTTGCTTGGCTTCTCGGTTCCGGTGAGAGTGAATGACCGAAATCTATTCCGTTGTCGTTTTGTCTTGTCTCGTGAAGGTACTGCCGTTTTAAAAAAAAAAAAAGGGGGGGGGGGAAAGGTTGCGTAATAAAATCTTTTGAGTTGAGCAACGTAACATGAATCTCTCACTTGCAGAATTATAGAAAACTGCATCGGGCTTCCCCGGCCTTCCATGATGTGTTTTCATATGAAAAAGCTGTTTAGCCATATCTATATCTATCCTATCTATCATCTCTCTCTCTCTCCCCCCCTCTCTCTCCATCTCTATCTCTCTCTCTCTCCATCTCTATCGAATCTCTATATCTATCTATAGTCTATCTATCTAATTATCTATCTCGTATTTATTTCTATTTCTCTGGTATTTATTTCTATCTCTCTATATATATCTATCCTATCTATCTATCTATTTATCTATCTATCTATCTATCTATCTATCTATCTATCTATCTATCTAATCTATCTATCTATGTCTATATAATTATCTATCTCTGATATTTATTTCTCTCTCTCTCTCTCTCCATCTCTATATCTATCTATCTATCTATAGTCTATCTAATCGTCTATCTCTGGTATTTATTTCCACCACCCCCCTCTCCATCTCTATCTCTATCTCTATAGTCTGTCTATCTAATTATCTATCTGGTATTTATTTCTATCTCTATCTCCATCTCTATATCTCTATAGTCTATCTAATTATCTCTGGTATTTATTTCTCTCTCTCTCTCTTTCTCTCTCTCTCTCTCTCTCTCCATCTCTATATCTCTATATCTCTAGTCTGTCTGTCTATCTAATTATCTGGTATTTCTATCTATCTAAATCTATCTATCATCTATATCATTCATCTATATGTGTGTGTGTGTGTGTGTGTCTTCTTAAGTTTTCGCGGGTGTGTATATGCAAAAAATTAAAATCTCGGGTGTTTTCCTGCGTCATGTTCAATAAGTTAGTTAAAATGTTTAAAATTCTGGTTAAAATCCTAGCTTAAAATCCTTCCAAAAATCCTTACAGAGCACTCTGCAAGGTCCTTTAAACCTCAGCTAAATCCTACCAGTGACTTTAAAAGTTTTCTTTCTAGCAATGTTTCGACAGGCTCAACGTTTCGACAGGCTTGTGAGCCTGTCAAAACGTTGCTAAAAAGAAACACTTTTAAGGTACTGGTAGGATTTTAGCTAAGGTTTTAAAGGACCTTGCAGAGTGCTCTGTAAGGATTTTTGGAGATTTTAAGCTAGGATTTTAACCAGAATTTTAAACATTTTAACTAACACAAACACACACACACACACACACACACACAATTATATCTATATTATCTATCTATCTATCTATCTAGATGAGACATTGGGAGCAAAGTTGCTGCCCATAAGGGGACTCATACCAGTTCTCTGGCTGTGTTGCCTTCGTGCCACGCCCCGGGTCATCACACCCTCCTGAATTATTCGATAAGCTTTCCAATTTTATTTTAGGTTTTTTGTTTGCAGTTCTGCTAGTTTCTGGTTTTTCCTTGTGTTCTTTTTTTAAAAATTTTGGCTTTTCTTTATCCCAAGTGCTTCCAGTAAGGGATCTTTTGTGGAAAGAGAAGCTAGAAAACTTCCATAAACAGCACCCACCATAATTGCAGAAACGACGATCTTATTTCATTTACGGCTTTCTGGAACCTTCACGCCGTTCCTTTCTCCTTTTAGGGTCTGGGAAAAGCGAGCTAAACAGTGAATTAACTTCCACGCCGGGCGTCTCGCCCGCGGCCAGCTCGGCCTCCGACCCTCCGGGTTGCGACATCATAACGGAGCAACCCCGTTCTCAGCACGTCTTGCAATCCGAATCGGAGATCTCTGCTTGCGATTTGACGGGCGCGACCCCGAAAGCCGATACGGACGACGACATGCTGAGCAGGAGCTCCAGCCAGATTAGCGCCATCCAGTCCGAAGTGAACGACGGCACCTCATCGCCCATCAGCGACAGCTCTCAGACTACCACCGAAGGGCCGGACTCGGCAGTGACCCCGTCCGATTTCTCTGAAATGGTAAGGAGTGGTTCCTAAGGGTTGTTAAATCCTTATGGTTAAATCCATAGGGCTTCCAGGTAGTCCTCAACGTACGACCACAATGGAAAGCCAGCATTTCTGTTGTGAAGCGAAACGTTCATTAAGCGAGCTTTGCCCCGTTTTGCGACTTTTCCTGCCATGTTTGTTAAGCGAGTCGCTGCCATTGTTAAATTAGCAACCCGGCGGTTAAGCGAATCTGGTTTTCCCCACTGACTTTTGTCGGTTAGAAGGTCGCAAAAGGGGATCCCGGGAGACTGCAACCGTCATAAGTGTGAGTCACTTGACAAGCATCTGAAGGTAAATCACCTGACCATGGGGATGCTACAAAAGGTCATAAGTGGGGGAAATGGTCATAAGTCACCGTTTTCAGTAACTTAGATTTAGAACTTAGACTTAGGATAACTTTTTTGTGACTCAACAAACGGTTGCAAGTCAAGAATTACCTGTATTTTTCTCTACACTCCACTCTTTTGTCTGGTCCTCTTAAGGACATTCACAAGGTTGCAGGCTTGACTGAGAATTTTTTTGGGGGGAGGAAGGAAGGATGACATGCAAAGAACGCGGAAGTAACTCTGACGTTCCCCTAACTCGGCGTCTTCCCAGTGCTTTGATTAAATTAAATGAATATATATATATATATATAAAGAGATACAATTTTGGTAAAGTTCACGATTTTTTATTTACGTTTCCATCTAAAACCAGCTTTGCAGCTTTAAGACCGGTGGACTTCAACTCCCCGAATTCCTGAGCCGACCAGGCACTCTGGGAATTAAAGTACACAAGTCTTAAAAGTTGTCGGGTTTAATGGGGGGCCCTGATCTGAACTGCTTTGAGAGTTTATTCCGTACACCATTTAGATTCTCGAAGGCGGTGAGAACCAATACTCTGGAATGCAGATTGGGCAGCTGCAGGAGGAAGAAGACGAAACAGCCAACGTTCTACACGACGAGACTTTGGATCCGTTCCGAAATTCCTGCCTCGGTACGTTGACACTCTGTGGAAGCAAATACAGATACCGTATTTTTCAGAGTATAAGACGCACCTTTCCCCCCCCTAAAAGGGGGTGAAAATTTAGGTGCGTCTTAAACACTGAATGTAGCCCCGCCCACCCACTGGCCCCCACCCTTTGGCCTCTGCCTCCCAGCAGTTTACCCTCCTTGCAGCAAGCAGCAAGAAGAAACAGTCCGTTTCAGCTTCAGCACAGCCTAATTAGCACAAGTGGATTGGATCGGCCTCCCGACTCTCAGCTGTTTTGCTCTCAGCTGTTTTGCGCAGGGCTCTGCTGCTTGCTGCAAGGAGGTAAATTGCTGGGAGCAGATTTTTTTTTTCTTCCTTGTGCTAATCAAGCTATGCTGAAAACGAAACTGAAAGTAAAGTAGGCTGTTTGCTGTTCGATGTTTGCCGCAACGAGGCAAAATTGCTGGGAGGCAGAGACAGATTTCTTTTTCTTCTTTTCCTCCCCAAACAAGGTAGGTGCGTCTTATAGTCCGAAAAATACAGTAACCCTCGACTTATGATCCCAACTGAGCCCCAAATTTCTGTTGTTCAGTGAGGCATTTCTCAAGTGAGTTCTGTCCCATTTTACGATCTCTCTTGCCACACTTGTTAATTGAATGACTGCGGTTGATAAATTAGTAACCCACTTGTTGTTATTGTTATTATATTATAGCATAGCATAGCATTGCATAGCATTGCATTGCATTGCATTGCGTTGCATTATATTATATTTATATTTATTATTATCTTATCTTATATTTATTATATATTATAAAATAATATAATATGTTATATATTATATTATATTATTATATTATATTATATTATATTTATTATATTATATTATATTTATTATACCGTGTTTCCGTAAAAATAAGACCTTGTCTTATATTTTTTTGAACCCTGAAATAAGCGCTTGGCCTTATTGCCATGCGCTCAAAAGGCCGATTGGGCTTATTATCAGGGCATGTCTTATTTTGGGGGAAACAGGGTATTATATTATTATTTATATTTTATATTATATTATATTATATTATATTATATTATATTATATTATATTATATTATATTTTATTATATTTTATTATATTTTATATTATATTATATTATATTATATATTATTAATTGTTATGATATGTTATAACATTATTATAATATATATTATTATATAATTATAATTATTTGTTATTTATTTGTTATTATTATTATTTTAAAGAGCTTCAGCGATCTCATTTAGCGAAAACTGTGAGCCACAGGAGGGAGCCTTCCAATGGCAGCATGGAGAAGTTTGGGCCTAAGGAAGAAACTGAACTGGCTGACCATGGAATTAAGGTCAGTTTGAGCGGGGAAGGCAAGAGGGCCTGGGGTTGCTCCTGTGCCCCCCAGTTGGCCAGAAGGGAGACCCTCTTATGGGGAAGAGAGAGGCTCTGACTCACAACTCCAAAATTTTCAGGGTTGGGAGACCAACAGTCTCAGCTAAGCATCTTCTCTGGCTGGGGTGGATAATTACAGTAACAAGTCCTCAACCACAACCGAGCCCTAACGTTTACGTTGTTAAGCGAACTGCTAGGTTGGCAGAAGCTGGGATAAGTAACAGGAGCTCATCCCGTTACACAGCACTAGGGATTCGAACCGCCGAACTGCTGACTTTTCGATCGACAAGCTCAGCGTCTTTAGCCACTGAGGCACGGTGTCCCTTTCCGGGGGGGCGGGGGGGGGGAACAACAGTCTCTTTTAAAATAAAAGCAACACAGTTGTATTGCATGCCTGACATAACCATATTTATTTATTTGTTTTTATTTATTAATTTATTTATTTTAATTTTATTTTAATTTCCGATCGACTTCACATAGGCCGGATGTGGCCTTGGGAGCCTAAAACGCCTGGGTCTATTTTGAGGGAACATAGTGATGCTTTGGCCCTCTGGACGTCTAACACCAACCCTCTTTGGAAGACTGGTGTCTTTTAATCTCCAATAAAATATAATTGGATTTTGATTTTGATTTTTTTTTCTGCCGACAGCTCTCCAGAATGAAAGGTGATATCGGGGGCTATAAGGACGGAAGTGCTGCGCCGCTAGTCCACTGCGTTCGCCTCCTGTCGGCCTCTTTTCTGCTCACCGGAGAGAAGGGGGGTGAGTCGAGACACGGGGGGTCCCCGCAGAGGAAGACTAAAACCTCTCAACACCTTTCCACCCAGGCCAATTGAGAATTTAAGAGGAACAAAAGAGTTTGAAAATAGGCCGATGCTAAATTAGAACACTCAGGGGTTGCATTCGGCTTAGAGCAGTGTCCCCAACCTTTCCGGGGAGGTGGAGGGGGGCAGGGGATGGTTCTGGCTGAGCGGTAGGCGCAAGCGTGAACGTGTGGCCACCATTCACACACAGGGAACTACGCACAGGAGTGCCCACCACATGTGTAAGTGCAGGGAAGCATGCATGCGAGCTTGCCGATTGCTTACACGGCCTAGTTCCAAATGGGCCGAGGTGTTGTGACCTAGGCCCAAGTAGTTATTACCAGACACAATCAGTCCTAAACAAACGTATTTTATTAGAACAGCTGAGAATTACTTCATTCACAGCTTAGTCCAAATTAAATCCAAAACAAATCCTTCATAAACAGTCCTTCGGCCTTATCACCAACCTTTGTCTTCTTTGGCACTCTACCAAAGGTTTGTCTTGGCGAAACCCCACGAAGTTCAGAAGCAAGAGACGCTGACAAGAAACAAATGTAGCAACGTTGCTTTCCTACAAAGAGCCCAAGAGCCTTTGCTGCTCTTTTAAGCCTTCTGGGAGGGGCCAATCATCTCCTGGCCTTACTCCTGAGTCATCCCTTTTGCTTTAGCTACTCTTGCCTTCTGGCAGCTCTTCTCATGCATGCACTAGGAACAGGCTCCTCCTGTTCTTCTGCCTCTCTGCTGTCTGACTCTGGAGGCTCTGGGACAAAATAAAGCCTTCCCCAGACTCCAGGACTGGCCTATGTTCCTCCCCAGCCTCCTCACTGTCCGACTCCTCCGGCAGCTCTGCAGACTGCTGGCAGACCACAACACAAGGCCCGGTAACAGGCCACTCTTAAGGCCGGGAGTTAGGGACCCCTGGCTTACAGTACATCTCTGTAGAGCAGGGGGGCCCATGCAAGGCCCGCGGGCCGGATCCAACCTGCGGGGTGCTTAGATCTGGGCCAAGGGGCCAGCAAAGGACCGGCCCATGGTGCCTCTGCCATTGAAAATGGATCTTGGGGAGGTGGTGCGTGGTCCGCCCAAGTTCCATGTTTGGTTCGCGGCGTCCCTGAGCTCCGTTTTTGCTGGCAGAAGGCTGCAGGAGGTCTTTTTCCGTGCTGTTGTAACTTTGAACGGTCGCTAAACGGGCTGTCGTAAGTCGAGGACTGCCTGTACTGACCCAGCCACCTGTATTTTCTGTTCCTCTCTTCTAGCTCTGGTGCCGGATAAAGACGTCAGGGTCAGCGTGAAAGCCTTGGCCATCAGTTGCGTGGGGGCAGCCGTGGCCCTTTACCCGGAAGCTTTCTTCAGCAAACTCTACAAAATGCCCACTGAAAGTAACAAAGAAGAAAGAGGTAGGTGTCATGTGGATTCTTTTTGAAAAAAAACAAAAAACAAACCAGCCTTTATTTTTACCTTGGTTTAAAACCCAGCTCCCCAAACACCACAAACCCTCTGAAGCGAACTCAAAGATTCTTTTATTAGAAGCGCCGGCAGCTCTGGCAAAAAGTTTCTCTCTCAAGTCTGTCCGTCTGTCCGGAAGATGAATAGTTGTCTGCCATATCTATTCATCTCCGCCGCCTGCCTTTTATCCCCAGAGCTAGGGTAGGGCTTCGCTAGTAGCGGTGGCTCTTCCGTCCCGAGGACCGGCCCATAGATTTCCATTGCTCTCCTCTCCTCTGCCTTCTGTGCATCCATGCGTCAGGCACTGGACCCAGCTGTTCTGTCCTTCCAAAGTCAGTAAAATGAGGACTCAGATAGTTGGGGTCCAGAGGCTGACTCTCTAAACTCTTAGAGAGGGCTGGAAAGCACTGTGAAGTGGGATCTTCCTTCCTTCCTTCCTTCCTTCCTTCCTTCCTTCCTTCCTTCCTTCCTTCCTTCCTTCCTTCCTTCTTCCTTTCCTTCCTTCCTTCCTGCTTGGGTGGATGGGAGTTGGACTAGATGACTCTATGAGGTCCCTTCTGACTCTGTTAATCTATAATCTGATTTCTGTTCTGACCTATTAGGCTTCCTTCAAAAGCATGAAGCAGAGTCTTGGTCCCGGCAAAACCCCTTTTATTTGCACGACTGTGAATTCCTTTCATTCACAGTCAGCAAGGCTCGGCAAGCAGTCTTTCAGAGGAATATTTATCAACACAAACCTTATCTCGCTTGGAAAGCTGCCAGATAACTAGGTTCCAAACACAGTGCAAGGCAAAACCTGGCACAGAGTCTCTCAGAGTCACGGAACGAACGAATTGTTTCCTGCAAAAGCCCCCTCTCCGTTCGCTCCTCTTTTGTTTCCTATGGGAGGGGCCAATCACCTCCAAGGTGTGGCTTTACTCCTGAGTCGACCCTGCTTTCTCAGTTGTTTTTGACTTCGGGCAGCTCTGTGCATGTGCACACTGGGAACGGGCTCCAGCTGTTCCTCTGCCTCACTGCTATCTAACTCCCTCTCTGCCTCCGACACAGAGCTCTCATCCGAGCTTTTCCCAGCCCCCAGGACTGGCCCAAGTTCCTCCCCAACCTCCTCACTGTCCGACTCTGCCGCCAGCTCCGCTGCCCGCCGGCGGGGGCCACAACAATTCCTGACCTAGTTAATAACTTACTTCCGTGTGCGGATTTTTCTTTGTTGATTCCTGATTTATTTCTCCAGAAGAGCAGTCCGTGAAGGACATTGTGAATTATATCGACCACGGAGACCCCCAGATCAGAGGGACAACCGCCATTTTGTGCGGAACCATTGTTTATTCCATCCTCGTCCAGTCTTGCTTCAGTGTGGAAACTTGGCTGGAAAATATAAAAGCGTCCACAGGTAACGGGGCTGAAGACCTGAATTTTGCGCCCGAAAACGTCCCGATGAAGGGTGCATGACCTCTGCTGTCCTTTCCCTCCAGGGACGCTGGTGGAGTGTGTCTCCTTACTACAGAAAAGCCTGAAAGACGAGTCTTCGGTCACGTGCAAATTGGCTTGCATAGCTGTGAGGGTAAGGAAATACCTTTAAAACATCACACTTGGCGGTTATTTCTTCCCCGAGGCCCACCAAGTGGGCGCCAGGGCTCTTGTGAGGATCTACGACAATTCACCACGGCCAATGTACGACATCAAAGTAGAGTGGTGCGGTGGCCTAGGGGTGGAGCTCTCGCCTCACAATCAGGAGGCTGTGATTTCGATCCTAGGTAGAGGCCGATTTTTCTCTCTCTGGGCATGATGAGAATTTATCTGCTGAACAAAACTCCGCCTCGGCAACAGGAAGGGCATCCGGCCAGTAAAACACTCTGCTAGCGCCATTCAGTTACCTAGACTCCATCCCCGCAAGGCGTTATGGGGTCGTTGGATGAGGATGAATGTGCCACGCCAACTTGCCATGACCAACACACCACGGGCAACTTGCCACGGCCAACTCGCTGCAGGACAACTTGGTGTGGGACGAGAGTTACACTAATACCAAAGAAATAGCGGAGTAGAACCCTTAAAGAAAGGATGCCAAAGAAGGGACAGAATGAAAGGTGAATGGCAAAAATTAAAATAATTATATCAATTAATTTTAAATAATTAAATAGAGTTGTTAAATTGTCCTTCAACGAATTGGCCGTGGTGATTTGGCTGCAGCAAGTCAGCTGTGGCCATGGCGAGTTGGCCGCGGTGAGTTGGCTGCAGCGAGTTGACCATGGCAAGTTGGCCACAGCAAGCTGGTTGCGGTAAGTTGTCCCATTCTGGTCTTGTGATGACCAGAGAAGCCTTTGATCTTCCTTCCCCCTCTGTAAGGGAACCATTTAAAATAATTTTTTAAATAATTTGAATGAAAGATTCCTCACTTCCACCTGGGGGAATCTGTTCTTCCTACTCTGCTGCCCCCCCCCCCCACCTTTATACGTGAACATTCTGAGTGATCTCTCTAGGAAAAGTCACTCGGTTGTCTCCGTCATAGGTTGACCTACTGAGTTCATTAAAACTGCTCCTCAAGTTTGCACGCTTCAAATTTGGAAGCCAGCACCTGAGTCTATTTCAGCGAGAGAAGCTCTAATCAACAGAATGAACTGAGTTGGAAAGCACCTTGGAGGTCTTCTAGTCCCCTATGTCAGGTTTCGAGGTCGTCTCAAATAAATTGCATTTCAAACAAAGTCTTTGATGAAAAAAAAACTCCCATTTATTAAGCACGACATTCTAATTCCGACTCCATCGTAGCCAACACTGACTTCCAGACCCAAAACCTTCCCTTTCCGTTCCCCACTCCCCTGCACTCATTGGCCATCTTCCAAGTCACTCTACCCCTAATCTACTGCTCCAGCTCAAAGGAATTTCCCCCCTCCCATCCCATCTCCTAGGGGATATTATCTCCAGGGAAAATAAGTAGGTGAAAAGTCAAATGTCCCTTTCCAGACACCTCTGCTTCTCCTTCTTATGTCAGCACTAGAGTAAATGCAGCTTGAAGTGCTGACACCCTAGACTAGAAGACCTCCAAGGTCCCTTCCACCTCTGTTAATTCTAGGGTCCCCAACCCTAGTTGTAGGAGGTTCATCACTGGAGACTTTCAAGACGGGATTGGACTGCCATTTGTCAGAAATGGTGTAGGGTCTCCTTCTTGGGTGGGGTGGGGGTTGGACTAGATGACCTACAAGTTCCCTTCCAACTCCGTTAATCTGTAATCTGTAACCAGCCAGACTGTGGCTCACTAGCAGGCCGCTGCCTGTTCGGAACCAGGCCACGCAGGCGGTGGGCGAGCGCGTGCACATGTGTTCTGACCTAGGCTTCCCCAAAAAGCACGAAGCAGAATCTTGGTCCCGACAAAACCCCTTTTATTAAACAAACAGTGAATTCCTCTCATTCGCATATCCAGCAAAGTCTTTCAAGGGAGAATTGACAGTCACAGACCTTATCTGGCTTGGAGAGCTGCCAGGCCGATATCTTCAAAACTTGGCAAGGAGTCACGAACCAATTAAGCAAACTAATTGTCTCCTGCAAACTCCACTCCCCTTTCGCTCCTCTTTTATTCCCTCTGGGAGGGGCCATTCATCGTCCACCTGTGGCTTTACTCCTGAGTCGACCCTTGTTCCTTAGCTGTTCCCTTCTCCTGGCAGCTCTGCGCATGCGCACCCTGGGAACAGGCTCCAACTGTTCTTCTACCCCACTGATGTCCGACTCCGAAGGCAGCTGACAACTGTCAGACGGCCCTGGCCCTCTCTCTGCCTCCGACGCAGAGCCCTCCCCAGACTCCAGGACTCGCCCAGGTTCCTCCCCAACCTCCTCACTGTCCGAATCATCTTCCTGGCACGCACATGCGCATGGGGCACTTGCTGTTCCGGTTTCTGGCATGCATGGGCGCACGTGCACTCCCGTTTCGTCACTCAGTGCCGAAAAGGTTCGCCAACACTGACCTATGGCAGTGTCATTCTTTTTTTCCTTTTATAGTGACCCAAATGCGTTCAGGATCAAGTCGATTAAATCCTGACGTACCGTATTGCTGAAAGCAATTAAACCTTTCTCTTTTCAGCACTGCATCATGAGCTTATGTGGCAGCAGCCATAGTTCCTTGGGGTTGCAATTACTGGTTGACCTCCTTCTCCTGAGGAACAGCTCCTACTGGCTGGTTAGGACGGAGCTTCTGGAAACGGTGGCTGAAATAGATTTTCGGTAAGCATCCGTACGTTACGTCCCCCCGTCCCACCCACCCCGAAAAATTATATTCTCTTTAACATATAACGTTATGCTTAGAGTGGTGCGGTGGCCTAGAGGTGGAGCTCTCATCTCACAGTCAGGAGGTTGTGAGTTCGATCCTAGGTAGAGGCAGATATTTCTCTCTCTGGGCACAATGAGAATATATCTGCTGAACAAAACTTCACCCTGGCAACAGGAAAGGCATCCGGCCAGTAAAACACTCTGCTAGCTCCATTCAGTTGCCCAGACTGCACCCCGCAAGGGATTATGGGGTCGTTAAAAGATGATGATGATCTAATGTTATGCTTAATCGTAACAATGCCTTTCTCTCCTTTTGCTGCAAAGGTTAATCCAGTTTTTGGAAGAAAGGGACAGCAATCTGCATAGAGGGGATTATCATTACGCTGGGGTGAGTAGCAGGTTGAGGCTGAGCCAATGTGGGTAGGGATTTGCATGCTTAGTTTCACGGCTGCTCAGGATGACAGAAAATAGTTACATATGCATCCAAAGAGAACTTCTCTGCCAGCTTATTCTCCTTCGTATAAAGTTTATCTGAGAGTCAGTGTAGTGGAACGTAGTCTGGATTCCTAGGAGGGAGGGGCTGTGCTCCGGAGCAGCAAGAGACAACTCAGTTCAGATAGTTTACGTGAGAGAAACAGGATGAAGACAGATCCTCCCTGATTGTTTCCAGAATATAGTTAATAGGTAGTCCTCAACTTAACAACCACAATTGAGGCCAACCTTTCTATCGTTAAGCGAGACATCTGTTAAGTGAGCTTTGCCCCATTTTACGACCTTTCTTGCCACAGTTGTTAAGTGAATCACTGCAGTGGATAAGTTAGTAACCCGGTTGTTAAGTGAATCTGGCTTCCCCCCATTGACTCTGCTTGTCAGAAGGGGATCTCGTGACCCCGGGATGCCGCGACGGTCATAAGTATGAACCAGTTGCCGAGTGTCTGAATTTGGATCACATGACCATGGGGAGGCTGCAATGGTCATAAGCGTGAAAAGTGATCATAAGCCACTTTTTTTCAGGGCTGCTATGACTTTGAACCGTCACTAAGTGGACTGTTGTAAGTCTAGGACTACCTGTGTACGTTTAATGTTTTAATTAGTCTGCTTTACTTTGGCAAGATTTCTGCCTGTGGGTGAGGAGGAACAAAGAAAACCGCTTGGAAGAATCTCACAACGTTGTTGTGAAGTGACAGTCGTTCTTGGGGACCCCTGGTTCTGAGACATATGTTGTTATTTTGTTAATATGTTGTTTTTTTGAAAATTATAGGTGCGGTCTATAAGCCCCTTAAAAAAATGCTTTTCTTGATCGGCCTCTGCGCTCCTCTTTTCCCCCCACAGCTGTTAAAACTTCAGGATCGGGTTCTGAAGGAAGTGGTCATTTCTCTCCTGGGCGACGAAGATCCCAGAGTCAGGCGTGTGGCTGCAGCTGCTTTAGTAAGGTATTCGTTCAGCGAAACTTAATTTTTCTGCTCTTGCCCTATTTCGACTCCTTATATTTTGCACAGAAAGATAGCATATGGTGTAAATCTGTTTTAATCGTATTTATGAATTTCTCCCCAAAATCCATACAGTTTTAACTGCTGCATCATAAATTTGCCAATTTGGGCCAAAACTATTTAATTTGATTTTAATTCCACTTTTAAATTTTGTATGTATGTATTTTATTGTTTGGCTGAGTCCTTCTGGAGTAGGGCGGTATAGAAATCAAATCAAATAAATAAATAAATAAATTTACACTGTCAAATGCTTTCTGTGCGTCTAGAAAGATCAGTGCCATTTTTTCCCCTGGATTTCATAATTGCATTATATAATTGCATTATATAATAAATGTATTTCATAATATTCCACCGTATCTAGGATAAACCTTACATTGTTTTTATTTACAAAAAGCAAAAAATATACTGTAATATGTTATCTGATGCATAATTGGAATTACACTTTGGGAATAATAACAAGCAGGGGTTTAATACGGAATACATATGATGGAAAGACTGCAGATGTATTCCAAAATACATTTATCTCAGAGTTCCCAAAAATAGAAAGTTTATATTCTCATATACGGAAGTATTTGGGTTGTTTCCGTAGCAAAAGCTGAATATTGAATGCTAAGAATGAAAGTGGTTACTTATCGCCATAAAGAAAGGGAAATTAAATGTGTTATAGGTAGCCCTCAACTTATGACCACAATTGAGCCTAAAATTTATGTTACTAAGTGAGAAATTCGTTAATTTGGCCCCATTTTACGACTGTTCTTTCCACACGTGTTAAGCAAAACACTGCAGTTGTTAAATTACGAATCTGCAATGGTCATGGGTATCAAAAATGGTCATAAGTCACTTTTTTCAGTGCCATTGTAACTTCGAACAGTCACTAAGTGAAATGTAAGTCGAGAATTATTTGTATTAATGGCTAAATTAAAGCCATTAAGGATCATAAAGGGATCACCAAAGTCGTTGGCTGCCTCTGCGAAAGGAATTTTTTCGGACGTTGTTATCTTACCCACGGGACGCCTGAATGCCAGTAGGCAATCGGGGGAGGCTCCTTTCCTGTCCCTACGCGGTTTATTCGCTCACGGGAATCGAGCCACCGAGCTGCCGACCTCAGCGGAGCGCAGGCTCAGCGGCTTTACCATGTGAGCCCCCGCGGATGCACTATCCCCATTCCACTCCTGCTAGAGATCATCCAGAAGGATGACCAGGGCCATCTCTGACATCTTACGTCCAGGCCTGAAGCCAGATTCTTGTGCCTGTTGGCCGCCGGCCCCTCCAGCAGCCGAATCAGAGGAGAAGGAGGAGGCATGGGAGTCAAGGTCAGCATCAGGGAAACCTGAAAACTCCGAGGGGGAAGAGGGAATGGAGCTGGCAGAGAGAGAGAGACAGACGGAGCCTGGGCCGTCCGTCAGCCCTCAGATGGAGAGTCAACAGCCCCCAGGTCTGGAGGTGGCTGATGAGGAAGAGGAGGAACAGCTGGGTCCAGTGCCTGACACATGGATTTACAGAAGGCAGAGGAGAGGAGAGCAGTGGAAATCTATGGGCTGGTCCTCAGGACGGAAGAGCCACCGCTGCTAGTGAAGCCCCGCCCTACCTCTGAGGAATAAAAGGCAGAGCAGAGACGAATAGGTGCGACAGACCGCTATTCATCTTACGGACGGACGGACTTGAGAGAGAATTTTTTTGTGGGACTGCTGGCGCTCCTAATAAAGGAATCTTTGAGTTGACTTCAGAGGGTTTGTCGTGTTTGTAGATTATCTCTGTTTCATTCAGGGCCTGTGTGTATGACCACCTGTGCCTGCTCAAGCTTTTGTGTGACCGTTTTCTCCACCACGTTTTCCCTCAAAAGGATGCTTGAACACTGAATGGGACTTGCCCTGAGTGTCCCTGGTTTTCTTGTTTTCTCTTAGTGAAAAAGGCCCTTCTCGTTTCTTCTCTCCCTTGTTTCTCACAGGCTGGTCCCAAAGCTGTTCTATAGTTGCGACGCAGGGCAGACTGATCCGGTCGTAGCTCTGGCCAAGGAGCAAAGCAGCGTCTACCTGAAGCTCCTGATGCACGAAACCCCACCGACTTCCCACTTTGCAGTGAGCACCATCACCAGGTAGAGCTGCATTTAGCAGGGAATAATAAAACGCCTCGTTCCGGGAACATCGTTCAGGAGAGAAGCAACCTAGAACTAAAGAGAAATTTCCTGACAGTTAGAACAATTAACCAGTGGAAGCACTTGCCTTCAGAAGTTTTGGGTGCTCCAACACTGGAAGTTTTTAAGAAGAGTGTTAAGGATATTCTTGGCTCATAACCGATGATGTGGGTTATTGAGCAGAGTACCCTTTGAGTAAACACATGAAAAGTGACTGGGAGTGGTTGTGAACAATCACAGTCAACATACAAACACACTGAGTTGTTGTAGTCTTTTACTTTTAGAAAAAGTAAAGCAAAGTCCAAAAACAATCTAAGTCATACACAGATAAGACGAGAGTTAAAAGATCAATCCAGGGATATTTCAAGTACAAAGTCTTCTTACCAGTTGTAGTCATATACAATAAAACAGTTCTTCTTGAGTTTCAAAACAGGAACAAGTTCAATATCAAAACTTGCAATAAATAGTAGAAAGCAACATGTAGCTATGATCAAACACTGATCATGCAGAGAGATCAGGTAGAGAGTTACAGCAAATAATCAGGTAAAATGGTGTAGTATCCACACAAACCATGATCCTGACTTCCCTTAATTACATTGGCTACAGAGCTTAGCCAGTCAGGATACAGGATGATGCAATGCAGTCTTAAAGCAATATAATACCTTTCTGACTGCAAACATACATTGTTGGTTTATATATTGCCTGACCAACTAGTTAAGACAAATAACCATTTCCTAACAAAGAGATTGGACAACCATTTGTCAAAGTGGTGTAGGGTTTCCTGCCTAAGCAGGGGGTTGGACTAGAAGGCCTCCAAAGTCCCTTCCAACGCTGTTATTCCTTTCCTTTCCTTTCCTTTCCTTTCCTTTCCTTTCCTTTCCTTTCCTTTCCTTTCCTTTTTCCTTTCCCCTTTTTCCTCTTTCCTCTTTCCTTTTTTCCCCTTTCCTTTCCTTTTTCTCCTTTTTCCTTTCCTTTCCATTCCATTCGTGAGGAGAACCTGCTATTTTACTCACCTCTTTCTTTTGACTAAGGATAAATCTGCTGTCGAGTTTAACTTGCATTCTTGTAATGGATGCAAGTTAACAGCTGAATAATACAAAAAATTAGGTTTCCAGCTGCAAACTGAGCGGGGCCTTGGAGTCCTAGTGGACGATCCCTTAAACAGGAGCCAGCCGTATGCGGCGGCAGCCCAAAAAAAATCTAATACAATCCTCGGTTGTATAAACAGAGGCTCTTCTGGCGTGCCTGGAGAGATGGCTCTGCGGGCTACTTCTGGCACACATGCCATAAATTCGCCATCACTGGTATAGATTATCCTGCTTCAGCAGGGGGTTGGACTAGAAGACCTCTAAGGTCCCTTCCATCTCTATTCTGATTCAATGGTTGGAAACTCATCAAGGAGAGAAGCAACATGGAATTAAGGAGGAACTTCCTAACAGTGAGGACAATTAACCAGTGGGACAGAAGTTGCCTTCAGAAGTTGTGGGTGCGCCATCACTGGAGGCTTTTAAGAATAGACTATCTGAAATAGTACAGAGTCTCCTGCTTAAGCAGGGAGTTAGACTAGAAGGCCTCCAAGGTTCCTTCCAGCTCTATTCTGATTGAACAGAAGCTCCTCTTGGTAGAATAAAGCCTCCAGTAGAAGGGACGTAACCAAGGATGAAATGTTACCGGTATGGACCAGTTCGCCCGAACCGGTAGTAAAACAAAAATGCTACCAGTTCGGGTGAACCGGTATTTCCGACGATCAGCTGTGCCGTGCGATTTACATTCGCTAAAAAGCAGGATTTCCTGCTTTTTAGCGAATCTAAATCGCGCGGCACAGCTGTTCCCCCCCCCACTGTTCTACTTACCTTAGAAAAGGCTTCTTAATCCTCCTTTTTCAGCGCTGCACAGTAGCGCATGTGCGCAAAGCACACATTTGGCACAGGTCTAGGACTTTTCGGCTCGAACTCTTGGCGCTGCCGGTTTCTCCACCAGGGTTTCGCCTCCACGTTATTATTTATTTATTTATTTATTTATTTATTTATTTATTTATTTATTTATTATATTATATTTCTATACCGCCTTTCTCCTGTAGGACTCAAGGCGGTGTACAGTCAAGAAAAATATAGACACACAAACATCATAAAATTGCTAATTAAAATTATTACTTAGTTTGGTCAATTAAATAAAACCCAGAATTAGATAATTAGATATTATGCCTCGGCACTTTGGGCCATGACCCCTCCATCACAGTCCCTTCGCTGCGGCCCATTCGTCGCAGTACAGTTCGCGTCGGGCTTTTGGGAGCACAGGACAGTTCGAAGCCAGCCAATCGGTGCAGGGCCACGGGGGCTTTGGGATCCCTCGCCCTCTACTGCCCCCTCCCCTTATCTTTTCTGGCTGGATCCCTCGTCCTCTAAAGCCCCACCCCCACCCGGCTGCTCTCGGCAGCCTTGGGAGGCTCCAAACTGACAGACGAGCGGCTCTTGGCCGGAGTGGAGGGTAGAGTTCCAAGCGCTACTAACAAAATACCTTTGCCACCTCCCAGCCCCCTCTTCCACAGGGAGAGGACCTGGGAATCTCTACAGCTCCCCTTCTCCCCCCCACCCCCGTCTTTTGTGGCTGGATCCCTCCCCCATGCTGTTCTCGGCCGCCTCGGGAGGCCCCAAACTGACAGAGCCTCCCTCTGAACTGCAGCCCCCACTCTACTCCCAAAGCCCCCATGCCCCTGCACCGATTGGCTGGCTTTGAACTGTCCTGTGAGCCCAAAAGCCCGACACGAACTGTACTGCGACGAACGGGCCGCAGCGAAGGGACTGGGACAGAGGGGCTGTGGCCCTAAGTGCCGAGGCGTAATAACGCACAGGCGAAACCCTGTTGGAGAAACAGGCAGCGCCAAGAGTTCGAGTTGAAAAGTCCCATTCCGTTTGGCATACACTGCGCATGTGTGCGGGAAGCGAACCAGTAGCAAAATGAACCGGTAGCAGACTTCAGAGCATTTCACCCTGGACGTAACCATCAATTAAATATGCTTTTCCTCCTTAATCAGGAATTATTAAAGTTTGTTAAGAAATGGTTAATGAGGTGCATTCATTTTGTTCTAGAACCTACAGAGGATACAACCTGATGCCAAGTCCAGCCGATGTGACGGTGGAGAACAATCTTTCCAGAGTGATCTCGGCCGTGTCCCATGCGTTGACGACCTCACCCTCCAGATCCCTGACTGTGAGTTTTGATTGTGGGTCCGTTGATGTCAATGCAGCTTATCCCTGACCTACATCAGCTCGTTTAGTGACCATTCGAAGTAACGATGTCCCTGAAAAAAAGTGACTTACGGCTGCTTTTCACAGTTAAGACTGTTGCAGCCTCCCCGTGGTCACGTGATCAAAATTCAGACGCTCGGACTTCTGGTTTGGCATCGCGGCGAGACAGTCGGGGAATTAGTAGGCTCTGATGAGCTCCGCGAAAACCCGTACTGACAAACTGCTGCCGATGGGTCTGTGGACCAGAACCATCCTGTAGGGACGGGGAAGAAGGACTCGTATTTATGACGGTCGCAGTGTCCTGGGGTCATGCGATCCGCTTTTGCAACCTTCTGACAAGCAAAGTCAAGGGGGAAGCTGGATTCATTTAACAAACCCTGTCACTAACTTAACATTTGCAGTGATTCACTGAACAACAGTGGCAAGGAAGGTCATAAAATGGGGCAGAATTCTCTTAACAAATGTTTCGCTTAGCAACAAAAAATTTGGGCTCTTTTATACATACATACATACATACATACTATATGTATGTATGTATATAATGTGTGTTTGTGGGGGGGGGAGAGAGAGAGAGAGAGAGAGATGTATACACACAGATATATACATATATACGTATGTGTGTGTGATTGTGTGTGTGTATGTAAAAGGGGAGGAGAATTTACTGCTTTTTATTTTTATTTCATGACCCAGCTAGGGTGGATCCTACATGTTAAAAGTTACATTTATGTGATCAATTTTTCCTCTTTTTTTTTTGTAGCCCACAACCTACGACCACAATTGAGCCCAAAATTTACGTTGTTAAGCGAGACATTGGTTAAGTGAAGCAAAGTCGCAAAATAGGGGAAGCCGGATTCACTCAACAACTGTTGTCATTACCTTAAACGACTGCAACAACTCACTTAACAAACGTGGGAAGAAAGAGTGTTAAATGGGGCAAAGCTCACTTCACAAGTGTCTCGCTCAGCAACAGAAATTTTGGGCTCAAATTATGGTCGTAAGTCGAGGACTACCTATATTTTACCAGTTGGGGCTTTTTTTAAGCATTGCGCTCCTTTCCCGCATCTTAACCATGCCGTTTATCTGTTGGAGCGTGCTGCAAAACACAACCCCGTGCCTCTTCCACATTTCCCTGTGTTCCTGAGCATAATATTTTTCCTTCTTGGTTTTTTTTCCCCCCCCCCCAGTTTGGCTGCTGCGAAGCATTGTGTCTTTTGTCCTCATCGTTTCCGGTTTGTACCTGGAATGTGGGATGGCACTGTGGGTAAGTTGCAATTCATTCACCTTCGTTTACTGGAAAGGGAATCCGGAGCAAGGGTCTCCAATCATCATCATCATCATCATCGTATATTTTAAGGAAATACTTGGTCAATACTTAGGATGCTGGCAGCAACCCGTATCAACCATCAGTGCCAGTTAATAATATTTGTGGTACATTTTTAAATGTTCAGTTGACTGAGTTTCATGTTTAATGAATAAAGTAAATAAGAAGAAGAAGAAGAGGAGGAGGAGGAAGAGGAAGAAGAGACTGTGGAAAAAGAAATCGTGTGTTGTCCCGATTGTAATTGGAGCCCTTGGAGCAATACCCAAAGGGCTACCCCGCTATTTAGAAATTCTAAATTTGCCGGACTTGAACATTTTGACTCTATAAAAAACCACCTTACTCGGAACAGCTTACATCCTCCGACGATACCTTAACAGTTCCTAGGTCCTTGGTTAGGACTCGAGCTGCTGAGCTATTAACCAGCCTCCAAGGCTGTAAATCTCACTAAAGATTAAATAATAATAATAATAATAATAATAATAATAATAATAATAATAATAATAATAATAATCTGAACTGGAAAACGCGCAAACTTTTCAATATGTACCACGCTTTACATCCACGAAGTGATATCGACAGGTTGTACCTGCCAAGAAAAATAGGGGGCAGAGGCCTATTGCAAATCCATCAAACTGTAGAAGAAGAAAAACGAAGTTTGAATGATTATGTGAACCAAAGTACAGAAAAATTGCTGCAGGCAGGCTGTGAAAACGGAGAACATTATAAAAACAACAGAAACAAAGGCAGAATGTAAGGAAAAACAGCTGGATGGCAGATTAAATAGATGGAAAACCAAAGCTTTGCATGGACAGCACTTGAAAAAAGGAAAATGTGATGACAACTTTACATGGGCATGGCTTAAGATGGGAACCATCAAGAAAGAAACGGAAGGTTTAATACTCGCTGCTCAAGAACAAGCACTACAAACTAATGCCATGAAAGCGAAGATACAAAAATCCACCGACAAGCCAAACTCCCGACTTTGCAACAACGAAGTTGAAACTGTTTCACATTTAATATGCGAATGCAGCAAAATCGCACAAACTGATTACAAAGCTAGACACGACCGAGTTGCTAAATTAATCCACTGGTCCTTATGTAAAAAATACGACTTTCCTGTATCCAAAAAGTCATGGGAAGATAAAAGTGGAAAAAGTTATAGAAAATGAGAAGGTGAAGATCTTGTGGGACTTTCGAATACAGACGGATCGTCACTTGGAACACAACACGACAGAGATCACAGTTGTCGAAAACCGAAACGTACAATTTATTGACATTGCGGTACCAGGAGATGCCAGTGTCGAAGAAAAAGAACTGGAAAAAATTCATGAAATATTGCGACCTGGCCATCGAAACTACACGGCTATGGATGAAACATGTCACAGTGATATCCATTGTCATCAGGGCACTTGTTGTACCATGTCCAAGAATTTTTCAAAATACAGCAAGAAATTGCAGCTTCCTGCAATAACACCAGCGGAACTGCAAAAAACTGTGCTACTCTGAACATCATACATCTTAAGAAGGTACTTGGTTGATCCCTAGGACGCTGGCAGCAACCCCTATCAACCATCAGCACCAGTCAATGGTATTTGTGATGCATTTTTGAATGTTCAGTTGACTGAGTTTCATGTTTAATGAATAAAGTATATAAAGGAGGAGGAGAAGAAGAGGAGAGGAAGAGGAAGAAGAAGAGGAAGAAGCAGGAGAAGGAAGAGGAAGAGGAGGAGGAGAAGGTACTTGGTTGATACCTAGGACGCTGGCAGCAACCCGTATCAACCATTAGCACCAGTCAATGGTATTTGTGATGCATTTTTGAATGTTATTATTATTATTTTTGTTCAGTTAGGAGCCTGAGTGGCGTAGGAGGCTAATGCCTCCTAAGGCAGCATTTAACATCCAGCTGCCTGCAATTACTGCGAGTTCAATTCTCACCAGGCTCAAGGTCGACTCAGCCTTCCATCCTTTCTAAGGTGGGTAAATTGAGGACCCAGTTTGTGGGGGCTATAAGCTGACTTTGTATAAATATACAAAAGTATGAAGGCTATTGCTTAACGCATTGTAAGCCGCCCTGAGTCTCCGGAGAAGGGGGGCATATAAATCAAAAGAAAGAAAGAAAGAAAGAAAGAAGGAAGGAAGGAAGGAAGGAAGGAAGGAAGGAAGGAAGGAAGGAAGGAAGGAAGGAAGAAAGAAAAAGAAAGAAAGAAAGAAAGAAGAAAAAGAAAGAGAGAAAGAGAGAAAGAAAGAAAGAAAGAAAGAGAAAGAAAGAAAGAAAAAGAGAAAGAAAGAAAGACTGAGTTTCATGTTTAATGAATATAGTAAATAATAATATATCTATATTTTATAATATATAATATAGAAATACTTTTTATTCCTCCTGTGGCGTGGAAACTGATGATTTAAAATTGAATTCCAGTTTTTCTCACCCGGGAGGCATGGAAGAGTCCCAGGAGAAGAGCGCAGTTGGGATAGTTGGCTTGCTCCTCTCCCTCCTTTCCTCCGTTTCGTTCCCTCTGGATCTCTCTGCCCACCAAGACGCCTTGATCCTGGCTGGGAATTTGCTGGCAGGTAAGAAAAAATATTTAATCATCTTCTTCTTTTCTAAATTCATAAACTTTTTAAATACAGTGTATTGTCAGGGTGTATCATTTACAAAAAAAATGAGAAACCAAAAGAAATATTAACACATATACTGGTAACAATACCGTGTTTCTCTGAAAATAAGACCCTGTCATATATATATATATATATATATATATTTAACCCTGAAATAAGCGCTTGGCCTTATTGCCATGTGCTCAAAAGCCCGATTGGGCTTATTATCAGGGGATGTCTTATTTTGGGGGAGACAGGGTAGTAATAATATAACAGAATAGTTTTGGCTAAGAAGAAACAGAATAGTTTCTCTTTATATTAGCTTATTTATAATTCTGTTAATTATATTGACATATTTATAATTATTAATTTTTATATTTAATTCATATATAACAATAATCTTTCTTCATCTAATTCTACCTCTTATCTCTAACCACTCATAAAAGAGCCTTGGTAGTACAGTGGACTAAAGCACTGTTATTAACATCTGCTGCTTGCAATTACTGCAAGTTCAAATCTCACCAGGCTCAAGGTTGACTCAGCCTTCCATCCTTTCTAAGGTAGGTTAAATGAGGACCCAGTTTGTGGGGGCAATAAGCTGACTTTGTATAAAATATACAAAAGGATGAAGGCTATTGCTGAGCACATTGTAAGCCGCCCTGAGTCTCCGGAGAAGGGCGGCATATAAATTAAAGCAAAACAAAAAAAAAACTATTCCATATCAAAGTCATATTCTGTGTCTTCTTAGTCTTTTATTTTTAACGTCAATCTGTCCATCTCTGAACAGTCAAATATTTTCCAAATTACATCCTCATGTGATGGGGTGTTTTCATTTTTCCAATATTGTGTATTTTTTTTTTAATAAGTAAAATATTTAATTTTCACTCGCGGCTTTTAAAACACCCAAGGAGCATTATTTGTCTATAAACAGTTGCGGTCCGTGTTACAATCTAGCAAGACAGATACAAATTCACATCGGGAATATGCTTTTTGGGATACAGGCAATCCTCGATTTTCAACAATTCATTTAGTGACGGTTTGAAGTTACAACGACCGTAGAAAAAGTGACTTAGGACCGTTTTTTTCACACACAGCGACCGTTTCAGCATCCCCTGGATCGAAATTCAGGCATTCGGCAACTGACTCGTATTTATGACAGTTGGAGTTTCTCAGGGATCATGTTTTTTTTTATTATTTAAATTTGATTTATATGCCGCCCTTTCTCCGGAGACTCGGGGTGGCTTACAATGCGTTAAGCAGTAGCCTTTGTACTTTTGTATATTTTATACAAAGTCAGCTTATTGCCCCCACAATCTGGGTCCTCAATTTACCTACCTTAGAAAGGATGGAAGGCTGAGTCAACCTTGAGCCTGGGGAGATTCGAACTTGCAGTAATTGCAGGCAGCTAAATGTTAATAACAGTGCTTTAGTCTGCTGCGCCACCAGGGCTCTTATCTTTTAAATAATAATATAAACTGAAACACTCTAGGGCTTCCTGCCTAAGCAGGGGGTTGGACTAGAAGACCTCCAAGGTCCCTTCCAACTCTGTGATTCTATTCTAGCCATTTCTATAACAAGAAATCTCATCTAATCATCGGTAAAAAAAAACCCCAAAAATCAAAGTTAGTTATTTGGATTTTTAAGCGCCTGTCGTGCTTTCAGCCACCGCCTCCAAATCTTTGCAAAACCCCTGGACGCACAGCGAGGACGAAGCCAGCGTTCCTGCCGCTAAGCAAGAGGACTCGTGGGTGGCCCTGTCAGACCGGACGCTTGCCCTGTTGGTCGATCACCTGTTTTCCCATTTGCTGAAGATCATTAATATTTGTTCCCACATATTGGATGATGTCGTTCCTGGCCCGACACTAAAGGTATGTTTGTTGTCTGTCACTGACATTGCTGGCTTATTTTTAGGTAAGGGGAGCATAAAACTCTGTTACACAGGTAGCACAGGTGGGTTTCACATACCGTATTTTCGGAGTATAAGATGCACCTGAATATAAGACGCAGCTTAGTCTTTGGGGAGGAAAATAAGGGGAGTGGGGAAATCTGCCTACCAGGTATATTCACCTGGCTAGCGTCCTTAGTCTGGTCAGCTTCAGCATATTAATTTGCTGGTTTTTTATCCCCTGCTTGGGGATAAAAAAAACAGCTTCTAAAGCACAACGGATCTTTGGAGAGAGAAGCAATGAGAAAAGCAGGCAAAGCACGGCAGTGGTGAAATCCAATTTTTTTTACTACCCGTTCTGTGGGCGTGGCTTGGTGGGCGTGGTGTGGCTTGGTGGGCGGGGCAGGGGAAGGATACTGCAAAATCTCCATTCCTGGGGGAAGGATATTGCAAAAACTCCATTCCCACCCCACCCCTGGGGCCAGCCAGAGGTGGTTCTCCGAACTATTGCTCAAAATTTCTGCTACCGGTTCTCTGAACTGCTCAAAATTTCCGCTACCAGTTCTCCAGAACCTGCTGGATTTCATCCCTGAAGCACAGGGAGATGATGATTTTCTTTTTTTAAAAAAAATCTGTTTTTCCAGGCGACGTTACCATCTCTCACCAACCCACCTTCGCTGAGTCCAATTCGGCGCAAAGCAAAAGAAAAAGAAGTGACGGAGCAAGCCACGGTCGCCATAAGCCCTAAAAAGACGAGTGAAAACAGCCCAGGTTTGGAGAACGATGGGATAAAAACCTAATCGATTTAAACAAAACAAAACAAAAAGATATTGACTATTAATAAAAGGCTCTTCAGAACCATTCCTTTTTCAGAGCCACGGAAGGCTGTTTATTCAGTTATGTCTGCATTGAACCCAATGGATTTATTTGCTTTTAAGGCGGCCGAATTTAAAAAGAAAATGCTTGGCTTTAGAAGAGCAAATAACCATAAAATTAAAAACTACCCTTTGTGAGAAGAGTCATTTGGCCCCCATTTTCTAAAACTGATATAGGCGCTTGGCCTGAACTCGGCAAAAAACCAGCCGTAGGATGAGTTGGATTCGGACTTGTCATTCACTTAATGAACGGGGGCTCGCTTAATGACTATTTATAAAGGTCGCTGGGGAAGCCAAGATTTGCTTAACCGCCGGGTTACTAATTTAACAATTGTGTAGATTCACTTTTAAGAACTGTGGCAAGGACGGTCATAAAATAGAACAAATGTCTCGCTTTACAAATATCTCGCTCAGCAGCGTAGATTTGGGGGGCTCCCTTGTGGTCGTAATGGGGTCCTTGGTGCTCTCTGAGCTTGGTTGTTTCCTTGCAGAAATTTCATGACCCATCTAGGTTACATCATCAGTGCTAGAAGGAGGGCTGCCTGGATAGAGACGATCTCGAGAGTTTTAACGTTATTAAAGAATTTCTCTTCTCTCTGCTTTGATTCATAAAGCTCCGAGACAAAGTGACACTTCAAGCTCCACTCCCCCGAGTAAATCCTCGTCCACTCTGGGTAACTTCTACCATCTCCCGTCGTATCTCAAACTCTACGACGTTCTGAAGGCCACCTATGCCAACTATAAGGTATTTATTTGTATCAAACTACTTTTCCTGAGCAATCCGCGCCGTGCGTGCTACCGAATTCTGGAGACCTTGCAGGCTCGTGGACCCGTAGCTCTGGTTCTTTTGTGTTTTGTAAAATCTGGAGCCCACCCTCTGCCCTGCTTTCTTTTTTTTTTTTTACTTGCAATCTGCAAGGAAATCTGCAATCTGTTTTAAAGTTTAGGGGAGTAATCTGTTCTGTCCCCGTCTCACACACGCACACCAGCAGTCGACCAAGAGTTAAAATAAACCAGCAGACAAGAATTTCCTTTGATAACAGAATTGGCAGCAACCCAGTGGCTGCTTGCCAACAGTCTTTACTTACAAAGGGAGGTTTATCTCCTCCGACCGAAAACATCAAAGTCCACAAAAACCAAAGAATAGTCAAGTCCAGTCCAAAAATTCAGTCCAAGCAGAGCATATAACAAGGTTCCAGAAATGCAGAATGACTTGCTAGCTTTCCGTTTTGTCCATCACAAAGCCTGAATGGCCACCACACCCCCTTTTATCCCCTGTGGGGTGTGGTCCAGTGACACAGCCATCCGTTGAAACTGGGAAAACCATCGCCTTGACTATACGTACTTTTGTTGGCAGGGTGATGTCTCTGCTTTTTAGTATGCTGTCTAGATTTGCCACAGCTTTCCTCTCCAGGAGCAAACGTCTTTTAATTTCTTGGCTGCAGTCTCCATCTGCGGTGCTCTTGGAGCCCAGGAAAATAAAATCTGTCACTACCTCCATTTCTTCCCCATCTATTTGCCAGGAATTGAGATTACCCATGTAGTAGGGCTGTATTGCTATTATCCTTCTCATCTTCTCATCTGTCTTTCTGCCTTCTCCTTTTGGTATCTATGATTTATCACTTGTTGTATTTTAGAATTAATGATTGTAACTATGATATATGAACATTCACTTTGTTGTTTTGTATGTATGCTGAAAGCTTTTGAACAGGAGACGAATTCCTTGTGTGTCGGATCACACTTGGCCAATAAGAATTCCTCTTTCTTTCTTTCTTTCTTTCTTTCTTTCTTTCTTTCTTTCTTTCGTAAGGTTACACTCGATCTCCAAAACGTCAATGAAAAGTTTGGTGGATTCCTGAGATCAGCTTTGGACGTTCTGTCTCAGATCTTAGAACTGGCAACTCTACAAGACATTGGAAAGGTGGGTTCAGGCTGGCTTACGAGGTTTTTAAATGTCTCTAAGCCAGATCGATTAGAGCAGGGATCGGCAACCCGTGGCTCCGGAGCCGTATGTGGCTCTTTCATCCCTCTGCTGCGGCTCCCTGTCGCCGGTTGGCTGCACAATTGATAGGGCTTTCGGTTAGGACAGGTAGAGGAAAAAGGATGCCACTCTAGGAAGAGATTCTATGGTGGGGGAACTGGACTTCCGGTCGGCAGAGGAAAAAAGACGCCACGCTAGGAGGAGACTCTATGGTGGGGGAACTGGACTTCCGGTTGGCTCCAGAATTGAATGGGGGCTTCTGGTTAGGACCTTTGAGGCTCTTTGAGCGTTTAAGGTTGCCGACCCCTGGATTAGAGGAACATACGAAAGCATAATTAATGTTAATTAATGTATAGTTTAGAGCTTTGAATTCAGCTCACAGGGTTGTTGCAGTTACACAGTAACAAAACTCCGCACTGGCAACAGGAAAGGCATCTGGCCAGTAAAATACTCTGCTAGCTGCATTCAGTTGCCCAGACTCCACCCCACAAGGGATTATGGGATCGTTAAATGAAGATGATGTTCATTGCTGTCTGGGCAACACCTAATTCTGTCTTTCTGTTTTTAGTACGTGGAAGAAATTCTGTGTTACCTGAAATCCTGTTTCAACAAAGAACCAGTCATGGCAACTGTGTGTGTTCAGCAGGTAACAATGTTCAAAATGTGTGCGCGTGTGCCTTTCTCAGAGAAGAGTTCTCCCTTGAGTCAGCTGCATTACATCCCGGGCACGATCTGTCTGAATGGATTGCTTTAATTCTTCCCAGTATAGAATTGAACCCAAATTTGGCACAACTGTCTGATAGAAGCCTCACTTCAAAATGGGGTCTGTTTAGGACAAACAGCATGTACAGAGAGAGAGTGGGAGAGAGAGAGAAGGTGAGGGAGGGAGGGAGAAGAGAGGGAGAGGGTGAGGGAGGGAGCGAGGGAGAAAGAGGGAGAGAGACTGTTGTGGCCGATCAGCAGCCTGTGTGGATTGTAGCTGATTCCGACAGTGAGGAGGCTGGTGTGGTGCTGTGCCAGCAGCCTGTGCAGCTGGCACTCGAGTCGGACAGTGAGGAGGCTGGAGAAGATGTGGTGCCAGAGGTGGAGATTCAGCCAGAACCTCCAGAAGCTCCCATAAGTGAAGAGGACGAAGAGGAGGAGCCTCTTCTCGATGCACGGGCGCGCAGAGCTGCCAAAAGGCAGGAATGGCTCCTCAGGAGGAGGTCTCCTCGAGAGTAAGGCTTGGGGCTAATTGGGCACTCCCCTAGCCTATTTAAGGAAGGACGACGACTGAGGCAATTTGCAGGGAACAACTTCGTTCACTCTCCTTCGCGTCCTGATCTTAGTTCTCTTATCAGTTTCCTGCAAATTGCTTCTGGGCTTTCTGCCAACCCTAGTAAGATTACGATTATTTATTCTTTGGATTCTTGTCGGCTGTTAAGAAAGTTAATTAACAGCCTTTATTTGAAAAAGACTGATTTAATTTAGTAAACTAAGGTTTGTAGAGACTTTGTGTGTGCTGCGTTCTTTGGGGTCCGTAGCTGGGGCAGAACAGAGGGAGAGAGAAAGAGGGAGAGAAAGAGGGAAGGAGAAAGGGAGAGGGTAAGGGAGGGAGGGAGAAGAGAGAGAGGGTTAGAAATCAAATTGGAGCATAGCAGATAGATAAGTAGGTAGGTAGGTAGATGATAGACAGACAGACAGATAAGGTAGGTAGATAGATGATAGATAGATAGATAGATAGATAGATAGATAGAAGATAGGTAGGTAGGTAGAAAGAGAAAGAAAGAGAGAGAGAGAGAGAGAGAGAGAAAGAAAGAAAAAGAAAGAAAGAGAGAGAAGGGGGTAGGGAAAGAGAGAGACAGATCGTGTGTCTGGGTTGACAATACAATATAGGAGATAATATATTAAATTAAGGTAAAACCATAATAAAATCCCATAATATGGAGCCATAGCCTTGCAATGGGATAGATCTTTTAATTCGATACCCAAGAAAGGTAACCATCTCACCGCTTCTGGTTTGGCTGTGATAAGATCATCCCAGCTGCCTTGAAATTTCCTAAGGGGCCATTCTTGAGCTAGATGTGTTATAGTTTGTTCTGGAGCCCCACAGTCACAGTATGGACTCAGAAACCATTCAGAAATCAAATCAATAAGCAGAAAGCAATGGAATAGATGGAACGGAGGGAGGGAGGAAGAACAAAAAGAGGGGGCAGGGTCTCTCCTTCTGAGACCTCCAGCTGGGGCGGCCTCTGGTCCCGTCCTGTTCTGACCTAGGCTTCCCCAAAAAGCATGAAGCAGACTCCTTGTCCCGACAAAAAACCCTTTTTATTAAGTTACTGTGAATTCTTCTCATTCACATCCAGCACAGTCATTCAAGGGTGAATTTCCAGTCACAGACCTTATCTGGCTTGGACAGGTGCCAGGCCGATATCTTCAAAGCTTGACAAGGAGTCTCGGAAAGTCACGATCCAATTAAGCGAACTAATTGTCTCCTGCAAACTCCACTCCCCTTTCGCTCCTCTTTCATTCTCTCTGAGAGGAGCCATTCATCGTCCACCTGTGGCTTTACTCCTGAGTCGACCCTTGTTCCTTAGCTGTTCCCTTCTCCTGGCAGCTCTGCGCATGCGCACCCTGGGAACAGGCTCCAACTGTTCTTCTACCTCACTGATGTCCGACTCCGAAGGCAGCTGACAACTGTCAGACGGCCCCGGTCCTCTCTCTGCCTCTGATGCAGAGCCCTCCCCAGACTCCAGGACTGGCCCATGTTCCTCCCCAACCTCCTCACTGTTCGAATCTGCTGGCTGCTGGCAGACCACAACAATAACATCTCTCCTAAGGGCAGAGCTGAGGGTTCACCTTCTCCTTTTCCTCCTCCTCCTCCTCCTCCTCCTCCTCCTCCTCCTCCTCCTCCTCCTCCTCCTCCTCCTCCTCCCTCCCTCCCTCTCTCCTTCTCTTCTTCGTTGGGCATTGATTTTTCACAAAGCTTCTTCTTTCCCGCCTTCTCCAGTTACTCAAGACCTTGTTTGGCACCAACTTGGCCTCACAGTTTGACAGCTGGTCTTCCAACTCCTGCCGAGCTCAGGCCAAATGCCAGCGCTTGGGCTCCTCCAGTTTACGGCCGGGCCTTTACCACTGCTGCTTCATGGCTCCTTACACCCAGTTCACCCAGGCCTTGGCCGACGCGAGTTTGAGGAATATGATGCAGGCCGAGCAGGAACGGGACACCTCAGGGTGAGAGCCGCTTCTCTCCTTCCAAACCGGGCACTGGTTTCGCCATCGTGTCTAGATAATTGATTGAAATACAGGTGGTCCTCGACTTACGACGGTTCGCTTAGTGACCGTTTAAAGCCGCAACGGCACTGGAAAAAGCGACTTAGGGCCGTTTGTCCCAGTTACGACCTTTCCAGCATCCCCCGCAATCACATGACTGAAAATTCGGACGCTTGGCAGCCGGTTCCTATTTATGACCGTGCCTGGCCGTCCCAATGTCCCGGGATCCACTTTTGCGACCTTCCGACAAGCAATGTCAGCGGGGGAGGCTGGATTCACTTAACAACCGGGTGACTAACAATATCCCCGGCGGCGATTCACTTAACAACGGAGGCGAGAGCAGTGGCAAGGTGGGGCAGATTAACAAAAGGTTCTCACTTAACAACAGAAATTGGGGGCTCAGTTGCGGTCGTAAGTCGAGGGCTACCTGTGAGCGCAGGAGAAATACACGCGTGAGTCTTGCATGCTTTCAAAGCACAGGTGTCCAATCTTGGCAACTTTAGAACATGTGGACTTCAGCTCCCAGAATTCCCCAGTCGGTTGAAATCCACATGTCTTAAAATTATAGATTTATTGTGAAAAGACTGGACAACGTGCAGGCAGTCTAAATGTTTTAATTAGCGATTTCTTGGAACTACCGTGTTTCCCCCAAAATTAGATCTCCCCGGATAATAAGCCCTATCGGGCTTCTCAGGGCATGCTCTAAAATACACCTCCCCCCCCGGAAAATAATCCCCCCTCGAAACTACTTAAACGCATGTGCAGCCAGTCCCCACCATGTACTCTGGTTGCTTGCCGCGCAAACAACACGAGGTGAGGAGGCGAGGCCGGGGGGGGAAAGGAAGGGGGAACATTCCCCCGCACCCCACATGCCTTTACCTAACGGCCGCTCCCGCAATCCTAGCCACCACACCCCTTCTGTCACGCTGATGGCCGCAGCAAAACGAGTGGCAGTCCCAGCGATGCGCCTCGCGCCCCACTCCTTACCTACCGTCGCCTCCAGCAACCATGACCACTTTTGCCGCCGCAAAAGCGGCAGGAGATCCAGCGCCGCGGCCCACGTCAGGATCTTAATTTCGGGGAAACACGGTAGCAACAAATTTGCTAGGAATATCCTAGCGCTCAGAATTGCTACAGCTGACAGCTGGTTGGTTATTGGAAAAAAAACCTTCTATGTTTAGAACCTGAAATGGCAAAATTGACGAGCGAGTTAAAAAAATGAGGAAAACTCTAAATATTATGAAGTATGGGGAAATTGGTATAACTGGTTGAAGAACAAAATAAAAGTATGATCACAGGATATGACTTGTTATGCACCTGAATTGGACTTAATTGCGTAGAACACTGTATAGCTAAAGACGAATTTATCTAACGTATGATGCACCAAATTGTATAAACACTGTACCTCTGATCAAGATAGAGATTGTATACTATTTTTATATTTTGGAAAAATTCAATAAAGTATTTAAAAAAAAAAAAAAAAGAACCTGATCCAGTTAAACTTTAACATACCGTATTTTTCGGAGTATAAGAAGCACCTTTTTCCCCCCTAAAAGGGAGTGAAAATTTAGGTGCGCCTTATACACCGAATGTAGCCCCGCCCACCCACTGGCCCGCACCCTTTGGCCTCTGCCACCCAGCAGTTACCTCCTTGCAGCAAACAGCAAGAAGAAACAGCTCCTTTCAGCTTCAGCACAGCCTAATTAGCACAAGTTGATTGGATCGGCCTCCCGACTCTCAGCTGTTTTGCTCTCAGCTGTTTTGCGCAGGGCTCTGCTGCTTGCTGCAAGGAAGTAAATTGCTGGGAGCAGATTTTTTTTTCTTCCTTGTGCTAATCAAGCTATGCTGAAAGTAAACGAAACTGAAAGTAAAGCAGGCTGTTTGCTGTTTGCTGTTTGCTGCAAGGAGGCAAAATTGCTGGGAGGCAGAGGGAGATTTCTTTTTCTTCTTTTCCTCACCAAAAAAGGTAGGTGCGTCTTATAGTCCGGTGCGTTTTATACTCCGAAAAATACGGTATGCAAAAAGCAGTCAGCAATTTATTCTCTACTATAAAGGTTTTATGCCAAGAATTTTAAGATACCTAGAGGTGCTTTGGGAAGGCGGCATACAAATCTTAAGATATGCTTTCATCTTAAAAGCATATCTTAAGTCTGGGATGCAGGACCTGTTGCATTTATTAATTTAATCTGTTTCCGAGGCTTGCAAGATTCATTGATCGCAAACTAAATGAAATAAAATGAAAAAAAAAATGGCTGTGGTTATTAACCTAGCCAATGTGAGGCTTTTTTCAGGGATGTGTTTCAGATGGCGAAAATCAAGGAAGATGGATGGTTAGGAAATGTGAAGTATAAATAAAAATAAATAAAACCCGACGTAGCCCAAAGTTGCTTCATTGTTGAATGAACACACCTGGCAGAAGCTGCTCCTGTTAGCCCAGTTCCATTTAAAATGCTTTTATTGTTGTGTGAATCACGGACGCTAATCCTAACCCTGTATTAATATTTGCTTTCGTAGCTGGTTTGACATATTGCAAAAGGTTTCTGCGCAGCTGAAAACTGGCACCGCGAATATGGCCAAGCACCGTGCTGACAAGGTACAAATGCAAAACACATGTTCCTTGCTATATATATATTTTTTAAAAAGATAACTGTAAGAGATATACGTCAAATATTTAACTGGGGCAGGGTATTTTTCTTCAACCGTAGGCAATTTTAAGACTTGTGGACTTCAACTCCCAGAATTCCCCAGCCAGCTATGTTGGTTAAACTGGCTGGAGAATTCGAGGGGTTGAAATCCACAAGTCTTAAAAGCTGCCATGTTGGGAGACACCCCCCCACCCCGGCCTAAAGTCCTGAAATAAATCGTTGTGTATCTCACCACTCACCACTCCTGAAAAAATGGTTCCAGCATGCATCCATGTGCCAACCAACTGATTTTTGGGCCTTCTGGGCCCACTGAAAGTAGGGAAACAGGCTGTTTCCTGCCTCCGGAGGACCTCGGGCAGTGGTGGGGAAGGGCCGTTTTTTGCTGTCCCCAGCCTCCAGAGCCTTTCTAGGAGTTTGGGGAGGGCAAAAATGACCTTCTCCACCTCCCCGGAGGCTCTCCAGAGGCCAGAAACTGCCCGTTTGGCAACTTCCATTTTCGCCCTCCCCAGACTCCTAGGAAGGCTCTGGAGTCTGGTGAGAGAGAAAATCAGGCCTACCGGGCCATCGTGTGACAGGAGCGTGAGGATGGGGCGCATAGAATTATGGGTGTGGGCCCGCATGGACGCGCGCCCCCCCTTCCTGGCACGCGATGGCAAAAAGGTTAGCTATCACTGGTGTAGGTAATATCTGCCAGCTAGAATCCCTTGCTAAAACAACATCTTGCAGATAATCCTTGTTTTCTGGACTACATGGGTAAGAGATCGAAGTAAGAAAGGTGCCACTTTAAAAGATAAGGTGGCGCCCACAGAACTTCCAATGATCTGTTGGATCTTGCCCTTACAGTGTGGGGGGATTCGAAGTGGGCCTGCGAAGATGGGGTGAGGGGGCATTCTTTCGCGCTTTCCGTCCGGAGTCCCGCTGAGTTGCCGCCCTTCTCTTTCTCCCTTAGAATATCATCCACAATCACATCCGTCTGTTTGAACCGCTGGTCATCAAAGCGCTAAAGCAGTACACCACCACTACGTCCGTACAACTGCAGAGACAAGTCTTGGACCTTCTCGCCCAGCTCGTCCAGCTGCGGGTCAACTATTGTCTTCTGGACTCCGACCAAGTGAGTATTCAGCCTCTGTTGCAAGTCCATCGTCTTCTGCAGCCAATCCACCCTGTGCTCCGGATCGTGGCCTGTTGTGGGAGAAGAAGGACTGGCAAAATCCAAGGGCGGCGTCAAAAGAGGAAGCAGCCTAGAATTGCTGCGTAGCCACAAGTGAACTAAATCAGTTAAACCGAACCGTCTGTGTCTTTCGTGACATTCTGTCCCCTTCAACCCTTTCAGCGCTCATGGAAAGGTGTGGTCACCTTGAAAGAAGGTGCGACATCTGGAGCCATTTCATAACCTGAGTCCACGTGCTCCTCGACTTACAGCAGTTCATTTAGCGACCCTGAAAAGTTACAACGGCACCGAAAAAAAGTGGCTTTACGTCCGTTTTTCACATTTTGTAGTTTGTACTTTTTCACGCCATTGCAGCGTCCCTGGGATCACGTGATGAAAATTCGGACGCTTGGCCACTGCCTCGTGTTTATGGCGGCTGCAATGCCCCCAGGGTCACATAATCCCCTTTCTCCCCCCCACACACCCCACCTCCCACTTAAAGCTTTAATAATAGACTTGATTGAAACAATATAGCAATGTATTATGGAAGTGCCACAAAAGTTCAAACTGGCTTACTCACTTAACAACGGCAAAAAAGGCGTAAAGACTAACACAATAGGTAGATCAAATTACAGCTGCCAAGTTTCTGCTCTGTTCCATATTCTATGCTATTTCATTCTATTCTGTTCTATTCTGTTCAATTTTAATTTCATTCCATTCTGTCCCATGTATTTCTGTTCTGTTCTGTTCTGTTCTGTTCTGTTCTATTCTTCTATTCTAATTTCATTCCATCCTGTCCCGTGTAATTCTATTCTATTCTATTCTATTCTGTTCTGTTCTATTCTATTCTATTCTATTCTATTCTATTCTATTCTACTATTCTAATTTCATTCCATCCTGTCCCATGTATTTCTATTCTATTCTATTCTATTCTATTCTATTCTATTCTATTCTATTCTATTCTATTCTAGTTTCATTCCATCCTGTCCCATGTATTTCTATTCTATTCTGTTCTGTTCTGTTCTGTTCTATTCTATTCTATTCTATTCTATTCTATTCTATTCTATTCTATTCTATTCTATTCTATTCTTCTAATTTCATTCCATCCTGTCCCATGTATTTCTATTCTATTCTGTTCTGTTCTGTTCTATTCTATTCTATTCTATTCTATTCTATTCTATTCTTCTAATTTCATTCCATCCTGTCCCATGTATTTCTATTCTATTCTATTCTATTCTATTCTATTCTATTCTATTCTATTCTATTCTATTCTATTCCTTCTCTAATTCTATTCTACTCCTCTACTCCATTCCATTCCATTCCATTCCATTCCATTCCATATTTTCTATTCTATTCTATTCCTTCTCTAATTCTATTCTGTTCTATTATATGTGTGTGTGTGTGTGTGTGTGTGTGTGTGTGTGTGTGTGTATTTCCCAGTGGAAGGAAATTTGTGCACGCAGAAATATTTTTCTCTTTGGGATCTCAAACCTAAAAGAGGGTTTGCCTCCATCCTTGTCCAAACAAGACCAGATGACATGAAAGACATTTGACAGTTGAAGTCCTGTTCGTTTCTTTTGTGCTTTGTTTCCGTTGACATAAAATACGATTTGCAGTAACGAACACCCAGTAATGAGCTGTTTGTTGTTCTCATCAGATGTCACGGTCTGTTTCATTCCGATTTGATGGAGATAATGTCAGAATGTACCCAGCCGATGTTTGCCGAAATTAATCCGGGTGTTTTTTTCTTTTTGGCTTTCAGGTATTTATTGGATTTGTGCTGAAGCAGTTTGAATACATTGAAGTCGGCCAATTCAGGTACAAATTTCAGCTCAGACTGGAACTTTCCTTATATATTTATGTGAAAAGGAGGCTCAACACCAAAGAGCGATTCTGAACCTTGTTTCTTCTTCTTCATTGAAAAGGAAGGAGGGAGGGCAGTAGAACCTAAACTTATATACCGCTTCACGGTGCTTTTACAGCCCCCTCTAAGTGGTTTACAGAGTCAGCCTCTTGCCCCCAACAATCTGGGTCCTCATTTTACCCACCTCGGAAGGACGGAAGGCTGAGTCAACCTTTGAGCCGGTCAGGATCGAACTGCTGACAGTGGGCAGAGTTAGCCTGCAATGCTGCATTCTGACCACTGCGCCCCCATGGCTCTTGGAACGACTCATACTCCTCTTCTGATGCTGAGAGGGTAGTCCAACATGTCTTTTTCTTTCTTTCTTTCTCTTTTTCCCTAACAGGGAATCAGAGGCCATTATTCCTAGCGTCTTTTTCTTCCTGGTGTTGTTGTCTTACGAGCGCTACCACTCCAAGCAGATCATTGGAATCCCTAAAATTATTCAGCTCTGTGACGGGATCATGGCCAGCGGAAGGAAAGCAGTGACACACGGTAACGGGAAATCAGAAGTCATAGAACTGAACTCCTCCCACTAAACATGGCAGGCACTTAAAATTTACAATGAAATGTATTGTCCTGCTGCAACTTTGCTGGATCTTTATTGCTTTCTCCCTCTCCCTCTCTCTCTCTCTTCTTCCTCTCTCTCCCTCCCTCTCCCTCCCTCTCTCCTTCCTCTCTCTCACTCCCTCTCTCTCTCCTTCCTCTCTCTCCCTCTCCCTCTCTCTCCTTCCTCTCCCTCCCCCCCTCTCTCTGTCTCTCTCTCACACACACTTTCAAATATACCCCCGGTATATCTTTCTGCGTAAATATATATTTCTATGGAAATACCATAAAACTGACTTTCCAGAGCCTTTTATGAGGTTGACAGATAATAACTCTGGAAAAAAGGAGCAAAGGCTAAGAAACAATGAAAGCCAATGTAAATATTGGAGACTTTGAAATTTGTGTCACTTTAAATTGAATATGTCGATTAATAACATTAGAAGACGTCAAAATGTCATTTGTTGAGACCCTGATTCTACAGTAGGGGAAATTGTTCTTTGGCATGATTCTTTAGCTAAACTTTAATGCCGTCACATCAGTGGTGGGTTTTAAAAATTTTTACTACCGGTTCTGTGGGTGTAGCTTGGTGGGCGTGGCATGGTGGGCGGGACGGGGGAAGGATGCTGCAAAATCCCCATTTCCTCCCCACCCCACTAACCTGCTCTGGGAAGGAATCAAACTCCCCCCTCTTCATTTCCCCAAATAAAATATTACTCATAAGAAAAGGCTCCCAGAAAAGCAAGGAAAAATCAAGCTGCTAACAAAGGAACCTGCCTGAGGCTCATTCCACATTCCTGCCAGCTGCATAAAGGAAACTTTGTAAGAAAACAACAGCTACCGGTGTTTAGAGATAATAGAAAGTGGAAGCCGGAAGTTCAGCTCCATTTACAAGCAGGCAGAAAATTCATTCAAGACAGGATATTTCACAATGGAAATCACCCAAACCTTTTTAGAAACACAAAGCCCATGTTGCACAAACCCCAAAACTTCAAAAACATAGAACCATATAAGAATTCACTCCTCTTATCCAGTTTGTTGTTCAGCTGACCCAGAAACGAACGGCTGAATGTCACTTTGCTTCTGCAAGTAAAAACCTCCTTCCAGCAGCTGCTTCTTGGCTTGTCAATTTAAAGCGACAGCATCTTCTGGTTTTTGTTTTTTTTTCTTCTTCTTCTTTGTCAAGCGATCTCCTGGCTTAAAAGCGAGCCCTGATTTTGTTTTTCTTTAGCAATCCCGGCTCTGCAGCCCATCGTCCACGACCTCTTCATCTTAAGAGGAGCAAATAAAGCTGATGCCGGCAAAGAATTAGAAACCCAGAAGGAAGTCGTGGTCTCGATGTTGTTGCGGCTGATCCAGTATCACCAGGTAAACCCCGCGGTTGCTCACCTGTGTCTCTGAACATCCTCACAACTCCCAGATGGCGGATTTTATTGCAAACACGCTGAGCCTGCCTGTCTGAGTGATTGGACTGGAGGTGATCTGACCAGGCTCTCAAACACGACAAACCCCCTGTAGTTGAAGCAATGATTCCTAATAAGTCCATCCAGCTGGGAGATGAATAGTTGTCTGCCATATCTATTCATCTCCGCCCCCTGCCTTTGATCCCCAGAGCTAGGGTGGGGCTTCGCTAGCAGTGGTGGCTCTTCCGTCCCGAGGACCGGCCCATAGATTTCCACTGCTCTTCCTTCCTTCCTTCCGATTAGAATGCAGTATTGTAGGCTGACTCTGCCCACTGCCAGCAGTTCAATTGTTGTGGCCCGTCAGCGGCCTGTGCGGATTGTAGCTGATTCTGACAGCGAGGAGGCTGGTATGGTGCTGCGCCAGCAGTCTGTGCAGCTGGCACTCGAGTCAGACAATGAGGGTGCTGGAGAAGAGGTGGTGCCAGAGGCAGGGATTCAGCCAGGGCCTTCAGAACCTCCAGAAGCTCCCATAAGTGAAGAGGAAGAAGAGGAGGAGCCTCTTCTCGAGGCACGGGTGCGCAGAGCTGCCAAAAGGCAGGAGTGGCTCCTCAGGAGGAGGTCTCCTCGAGAGTAAGGCTTGGGGCTAGTTGGCCACTCCCTTAGCCTATTTAAGGAGGAACGCCAATTGCAGCAATTTGTAGGGAACAACTTTAGTTCACTCTACTTCCCATTTGGATTCTCTGCAAATTGCTTCTGGGCTTTCTGCCAACCTTAGTAAGATTGTGACTACTTTATCTTTGTTTTCTTATAGGCTGTTAAGGAAGTTTATTAACAGCCTTTGTTTGGAAAAGACTGAGTTATTTTAGTAAATTTAAATGTGTGTGCTGTGTTCTTTGGGATCCATAGCTGGGGCAGAAGATCAATGCTGAATCAATTGACTCAGCCTTCCGTCCTTCCGAGGTCGGTAAAATGAGGACCCAGATTGTTGGGGGCAAGAGACTGACTCTAAAGTGCTTAGAGAGGGCTCTAAAGCCCTGTGAAGCAGTATATAAGTCTAAGGGCTATGGCTATTGGTATTCTTCTTTGCTGGCAGGTGCTGGAGATGTTCATCCTTGTGCTGCAACAGTGTCACCGAGAGAACGAAGAGAAATGGAAGAGGCTGTCACGACAGGTAGCTGACATCATCCTGCCAATGCTGGCCAAACAACAGGTGAGAGTTTACCTTTGGTCACAGGTAGCCATCGATGAAGATATTCCCTCTTTCTGCATGGAGGAAAAACTTCCTTTTCCATTCTGCCCCTTAGGAATCGGGGCCTGGTATAGAGCGGCTAAGCTCTCTCCAGGCGCCTGATGGACATCTGGCCACGTAGCGTGTGGAGAAGCTGCCCTGGCATTTTCTTTTATTTATATATATATATTTATACATATACACACACCGTATTTTTCAGAGTATAAGACACACCTTTTCCCCTCCCCAAAAAGAGGGTGAAAATCTGGGTGCGTCTTACACTCCGAATGTAGCCCCGCTCAGCTTCTCAAACGGAGGTTTCAGAGGCTGAAAAAAGCATCAGAAAAAAAGCTTCAGAAAAAAAGCCTCCAAACAGAGCTTCAGAAAAGAAGCCTCCAAACAGAGCTTCAGAAAAAAAAAACCTCTGAAAGGCTTTTATCTAAAATAATATGGCAAGCAACACAAGAAGAATCGGTAAAGGTTCTAACCAAACGATGCTAACCAATCTGGAGAATGACACCATAATCAACAGATCGGAAGAGGTTAATCTACATACCAATACCAAAGAAAGGAGATTGAACAGAGTACAGATAGTCCTTCAGAATAAACGCCTCTGAAAGGACTCGATTGCAGCCGTCGTTGACCCCGTTGTGTTTGTCGGTTTGTTTTAACCCTCCCCAGATGCAAATAGATTCCCACGAAGCCCTGGGGATCTTGAATACCTTGTTTGAGATCCTGGCGCCTTCCGCCCTGCGCCCGGTGGACATGCTGCTGAGGAGCATGTTTGTGACGCCCAGCACCATGGTAAGGAGGGGGGGGAGAGGCATCTGGCCAAGAAGCCGCTCAGCGAGAGGGAAGGAGGCCTCGCTGCCCTCGGTCCGGGCTCAGGA